TATATATATATATATATATATATATATATATACACATACACACACAATCCTATTGTTCTAGTTGTTGGCAGGTTTCTAAGGTGGATTTGTGTGCTGTTTCTTAGCAGGTTCTTCTCCCATATACACCAAACAGAAGATCATGCACCACTTGATTGCCTTGCAAATTCAGTGGTTTTATTTTCAAATTGCATTAAAATAAGACAACGGAATTTAATCCAATCACATTGTACCAGATCAGCTGTTTGGTGTACGGGATATATACTTGCCTGATCAAAGGTTGCATAAATTATTCGTGTGACCATGCCAAGGTGAATTCAACACAATGATGAGTACCCCTTTAATTAACATCACTTGCCCTGTAAGTGTGGGAGTGAATGCCTGTGTGTTTCTTGGGGTTGTGGCCACTTTGCGGGTTATTTAATTGGTACGTAATCTCACTGAAAATTCATATGCTGATATATTACACTCAGTGTCTCTGGGAATTTATCATCTTGCAAAGGAAATAAACCATAAAATCAGTAATATGAGGAATGCGTAGGCTGCAGCCCAGATGTGCTACCGAGACTTTAGATGGTCATTTTAATGATTTTGTTTTGTTCAGTTTTGTGACATTGCCATGTGAGTCAGTTATATAACACTAGGCTAAGCATAAATAATAGTTCCTTACAAATACTGTATTCATTAACAACTATTAAAATGTATCTCTAGCCAAAAGCTTTTTTTATGACATTTTCAATAGAAAGTGAAAGGATTGGAACATCTGTCAGGTGTTTATTGCTCTGTCATCCCAGAGAACATTCAGCCTCTCTATTTACCCTGGTGACCAATGTCACCGGAACAGAAAGTAGGGAAATCCAACATTTTACAGGCACAGGCTGGACTGGAAGAAGTGGAGCTGTCAAAGAGGAAATTTCCCCTTACCTTTGACGTATTTCCTCATACATCGTGTTGTGTCTCCAAGAAATCGACTGAAAGGCATAGTCCACTTTTTGCAAAAAAATAATAAATGGCGTTGCAAAAAGAAAAAAATATGCATGTATTATTTTGTTTGCATTTGAGCCTGTATAGCATTACGACTGCAATCAGTGGATCTTGGGTGCAATGCCCACACTCCCTCAGGTTGTTTCTCCAGCCCCAGGTCAGTATGGAGGTATTGATCTTCCGTTATAGTGTTGGAGCAAGTTATCAATGCACTGAGATGTAGGAGTCCCTCTGCCATGGTGTACTGTGAATCCTGTGAATGGATCTGTGAATTAATGATGCAGATGTGGGGGCTGAGCTATGCACATCCGCATGAGTTCAAAAGAATACAGAAGCCTGCGGGGAGCAGCACCCCACGATTCGGTTAAGTGGGGGTTGAGGGTGGGGGGCTGTGGAATGGCACCATGTTCCATGTTACACCCTAAATATGTATGTAACATGGAACAAGGTGTTAAAGGTGGATTTTACACCTTTAATGTGTCAGATGACGTGAATAACATTTGATTTGACAAAAATAACAGCAGAGATCTCACTGGTTTGTAGCTAGTTTGTGTATTTATGAGTATAATAAAATCCTTATTTTCTTTCAGTTGTTTCCTAGCTATCCATATGTAAAATAAAAACAAACTATTGACATCTTTTGTAGTCGTACTGGTACCTTATAGGACTGGTGGTGTGTTGATGATGATTTTGAGAGTCTGCTGAAGAGGAATTGGGGGCACATTGGGCAATCCATTTTAAGTCTGTAATCTATTAATGTACATTGCAAGATGGAAACAGTAGTGAACTATCTAGAGACACAAGTTTAGGCAGGAGAGCCACACATGGCCCCTGATTCTGTATATAGGTTTACTGCTTTATCATATTGTTCAAAATGAAGCCTACAATTTATGTTTCTTCATATTTGAACTGCAGATTGCCATTCTTTAGAACCATTGATGCATGTCCTATAACACACAGAGGCTTTCATCAGAAATAGAAGCGCATTGATAATGTCACCCTTCGTTACCAGGACTTCAAAGTGGGATTGTGTAAGTGATTACTGAATAATCAACGCTTATTTCTCCTTTTGCAGATGCAGCAGCTGGAAAGACAAGTGATTGACGCAAATCGGCGGGCAGAGCAAGCATATGAGCAGGTCATTGTAAATAACATTTATGTGGCAGGTCACCTGTCTTGTAATTAAAGAAATATGTTTTGTTATAGTACTTGCCTCACATGAAGGCTTTATAAAATAAAAGAGGACTGTGGCAGTAGCAGTACATGCGTGGTTAGAACTTTCTAACTTACCTATAAATCATCAGCTTCTCTAATGGTCAGAAGCAGAGCCGTAGCTAGCTCCTTTTGCGCCCGAGGCAGGAACAGAAAATTGTGCCCCCCAACAGACGTGTTATGCCACCTGACGCCGCGCACACACGGCGTCATGTGACAATGCCCCGCCTCCAAGATGGAACTGGTAGCCAAAACCTTAATGGCATAAACATTTGTTTCGTTAGACAAAACAAAAGAAACATTTTTTTGTTTCCGTTCATTTAGTCCGAAACTAATTTTTAGTCTTTGCACATGTCTAATAATATGTATGCATAAGTGTGTGAGTGTGTGTGTGTGTGGGGGGGGGGTTGCTTTTGTATTTTTTTATTATTATTATTATAAGGGGGTTGCTTTTTTATTTTTTTATTATTATTATTATATTTTTTTTCTTTTTTACTGTTGGGGTGGGGGCTTCGGGGAAATATCAGGGGTCTAAACAGGCCCCCAACATTTCCCTTTTGAAATAGAAAAAGGAGATTGAGGACACAGAGTCCTCTGCCCATACAGGTAGGGGTCCTGGGGAGAGCAGAAGGTCGAGGAGAAGCTGGAGCCTGTGCCGCTCCTCTTCTCCCTGCCGAGCCGCAGCTGTTTTGGACGCCTAGCGCCCCTGTTGCCAATAGCGACATGTGCTTGCCATGGCAACAGGGGCAAGGGGGCGCAGCCAGGCCGGCCCTGGCTACGCCCCCTCTCAGCTGCGTCTGAGGCACGTGCCTCACCTGCCCCATGGTAGCTACAGCCCTGGTCAGAACTGTTTCCTACTGCAGTCTGCAGGGTTGTCTTGAAAGTTATTCAAGGCAGGCTGATACCTTCTCTGCACCTGCCGGAGCCCTTAGATAGGCAATGTGTATGTGTGGGGGTGAGGGAAGGAATTGTGTAGGTCCTCAACCAGAGGCTTTATAAAATAAAAGAGGACTGTGGCAGTAGCAGTACATGCGTGGTTAGAACTTTCTAGGTTACCTATAAATCATCAGCTTCTCTAATGGTCAGAAGTGTTTCCTACTGCATTCTGCAGGGTAGTCTTGAATGCTATTCAAGGCAGACTGGTGCCTTCTCTGAACCTGCCAAAGCCCTTAGATAGGCAATGTGCGTGTGTTGGGGGGATTGTGTAGGCCCTCAAGCGGCAGAGTAAGTAGAAATCACATGGCCCCATAGCAAAAATGTTAATGGACATACAGCATGGCATACGGTCTATCCTAGCAGAATTTATTTGGTACCTTAAGAGCCTCTTGTTCTGCAGTAACATGCATTAGAATGATGGAGTGCAATTCATTCTAAATCTAGCCTCACCAAAAACCCTCTTAATTTTGCCTTTCCCATTGGCTCCGACACATTTCATCAAAATGGCCAGATATTGGGGAAATGAAAACTCTTGATTTTTGCTTATTAATATTAGCACCATGATTGCTGCCCATTTATGCTAAAATCATATAAAAACATTATACTCTGTGTGCCTTAGTATAGAGATTTTCTTTTTTTTTCTACGCTACCATTTTATGTTAACTATGTGATTCACCTTGCTCAGTAGAATCTGCTAAGACATTTGCTTCTGGAAAATGCCATCGAGTTGGGCATAGTCCTAAAAACTTCTTGGTTTAGTACAGGCAAACAGAATTTCACCAGGCTGTAAAGCCAATGTGGAAACTCATGCCCTTATAAAATCAACAGGTGCAAGTCGGCTTCAAGCAGTTACTGGAACTTTCTTGTTGTTGTTAAGTAAACACTATCTTTGTAGGAGAACAATATTTTGGATCTATCATGGAACTTTTGTGTTGCCATTTATTGTTTAACTTTCTGTTGCATTATGACCCTTAAAGTGACACTAAACTCAGGGGTGCAAGCAAGTGCACCATACCAGGCTACATTGGGAGGGTGCTTTTCCAGGTGGTCCCCATTAGGACAAGGACCTCTTCCCCACCAGCCTGGCCCGGTGGGTGTGGGGGTCTGCAGGCAGTGGGGCTCATCTGCATCTAGGGACCCCCTTTCACCATTTCATAAAGGGGATACCCAAATGCCGCCCGCCCTTGTAAATGAGTAAGGGTTATTTGTTATTTATTTTTGAAAAAAATCCTTTAGTTGAACAAAAAACACAGTATTTGACAATTCCTTTAGTAGTAAAAAAGAAAAAAGTAATCTAAAGCTGCAATCCATAGTCAACCACGTCGTCCAGCGATGTAATCGAGCGTCAATCACAATGAACGATGCCTGCCGACATAAAAAAAGTCCCGAGGCCCGCGCACCCGTCCAGGTAGCGAACAGAATGACCGAGCCGAATGCTGAGTCGAGTTTTTTGGCTATTCACTCTCTGCTCTTCGGCCCCTATGAAAATAGGGGTGAACAGCAGGGACTGAACTGCCTAACGTTCCCCTCTACCAATCCAGATGTTGCATCAGCTGATGTACACGGGTTCTTCTCTTCGGTTTAGCAGAATACGCTGAGGCTGTTTGGGTGGAACAAGGGGAAGTGAAGTGAGCCAAATACAGCCGTTGTACGACTAGAAATAGCCGTACAGAGCTGCTGGCAATGGCTGAACAGGCTTTGGCTGCCTTCACTTTTGGCTCGTTTATGCATTCGGCTGCCTTCAACAGCTTAGTGAATAACCCCCTAAATGTATTAAATGTTTAGATTTGCTATATTTTACCCACTTTGAGACTATTTAAATGTTTTAATAGCTATAATAATTAGAATACCCTGACCACTGGGTAACAGTTTATTTGGGTATAACCATGAAGTCCTTTGTACGACTGGCAGAGTACAAGACAGGCTGTATTAGCTTTACCCTTCTACATGTGACTCTATGCAAATGTTAGTTTAATACAGGATAGAAAATAGTTAACCATTCATAGTGGGTTAATCAGAAGCCAGAGTTACTCTTGTTTTTCTTGTGCTGGCTGTGAGAATGGATTTACTCTACACACCCAGCAGAATGATTAACTTACAGTAATTAAGAACAGTAACTATTATACACATAAAGGAAAGTTATTCTTACACGGCATAATGTTGCGTCCAGGATAAATAATATTGCTTTTATCTAGAGTTTCTGTGTGTTAAATATATTAGTCAGTATTGCAGGGCCCAGACACTGGAGGATAGGACAGGATAGGAGATTTGCTGACTGTGTATTAGATGGCTGTAGAGCAGAGGTGGGCAACTCCAGCACTCCAGCTGTTGTGGAAGTACAAGTCCCATGAGGCATCGCAAAAATAAAAGTTACAGGCATGATTCCCAGAGGCAGAGACATGTTGGGAATTATAGTTAAATCACAGCTGGAGGGCCGGAGTTGCCCACCCCTGGTGTAGAGCTTTATTTTAAAGAAAGGAGTGGTGATGGTTGGATGAGAATTTTGGGATTCTGGTAGCCAGGAGTGTGGGCTGTCACATTTGAAATCACTGTAAACCAAGTTCCTACTCCACTGCACAGAACAGTATAAGTAGTCACTAACAAATACATTACAGAAGTGAGTGTAGTTCCTCCTTACAAACATAATTCATATACAGATTTCACACAATGACATATGCAAAGGCATTCTTAAAGATTAATTCCAATAAAATGTAAAAATTAAAGTGAACCTGTTCTTTTTCTAGGCAGGGCAAATCAATTGGTTAATTTTAATGCCAACCCACGCAGAAGCCTATATTTTCTTTCCTTTCTCTCTCCCGCTGAGAGTGAGCAAATAAGCTCTTTGTATGCAAGTTGATTATAGTTGAAATTTACACAGGGCTGAGAATTCCTTCCACACCCCCTATGTGACGGCGCTCATGCCTGTGTGGCCACTCACCAAGCACCACCACATGCGAAAGGAAGGTAGTGCCTTTGTACCTGTGTCTAGAGGTTGTTGTAAGCTATTTATTGCTCTCACTTTCTCTCTCTGTCATACATACCCCAGCTTTCTAGGAATCCATACATAGCAGCTGTTAAAACTCAGTAACAATTGACTTTATAAATACATAAATGATCCATATAGTGAACTTTATGCAAAGTTCTTCACATTAAGGTCATTGCAAAGGACATGGAGGCACTCTTTGCAGCTGGTGGGAAAAAGGTTTAATTTCCGCATGTGGAAAGGTGGAGCTAAGAGTAAGAGCTATGAAAACGTGAAATAGGCAATGCCATCTTCCACTCTTTCCTGATTGGCTGTAATATTTTTTTTCCTATTGCTTGACTTTAGCTATAATTGAAAAAAATTATATTAATTCCAGCTGATTGGGATAAGATGTATAATATAATTGTATCCAGACAGGCTTACGGTACACAAGCTTTGCTGATTCTACCTTGGAAGGTAAAGTTGATTGTAACTATCTAGTGATTGCTAGAGACATGACAGAGGAAGCAGTAAAGAGCTACAACAGCCTCTGGCCACAGGTCGTGTTAGGTGAGATAGCAAGAGGAATTTTATTGGCCACTTTAAGGCCCCATTCACATGTAGCATCTCTATGGGAGGACGCAGCCATACACACATTTGAGCTGCACATCCGTGCGGGTCTGGGTGTCCCTAATCGGGGGCAGACAGGATGGACGTATGACAGCGTACGGCCGCGTCCACCCATATGGAAGAACAGGCTGCTGCATGCTGCTGTCCCTCCTGGAAACGGCCCGATATAGCTGTACACGCTGCACAGATGTGTATGACCCTACTTTACTCTGTGTAAATGAGGCCTAAAAATGCTCTCAAGATTTTTAAATGAACAAATCTACATGAATTGTTGTTTTTTTTTTAAACTTCCTGTCTTTTCCCATTTCAGTTGAAAAAGTAAAGACTAACTTAAAAAGCTGTGAAAATTTAAATTACAAAGATCAGTTTGCTTCCCCCACTTCTACCTCCTGCACAGTGGCGTCACAAGGGGGGTGTGGGGTGTTCGGCCTGCACCCGGTTGACACCATTGGAGGGGTGACACCAAAATGACCGACAGTTATTTTGGTGTCACCCCCTCTAAAAAGTCGGCCACTCAGTCCCCGACAGTGACAGTGTCAGTCCCGAGAGCCCGACACTGTCAGGAGAGAGGAGGGTACCCGGCGGCATACCTCATCCCACCCGGGTGAACGTCCCCTCCTCTCTCTGCCGGCGTCCATCACAAAAATGGCTGCCCGCAGGCGTCACTTACATGACCGCGCGTGCGCGATGACATCACGGCAGGGTGTCACCCATTCTCCGCTCCTGGTGACACCTGGCCTCAGGAGTTGTTCTTGGATTCTGGTGCAGCAAGGCCTGATAGGCTAATGATACATCATCTGCTGAGGTGCTCTTTCATACCTCCCAACTTTCTGAGATGAGAAAGGGGGACACCTTCCAGCACAATGCATTTAGGCAATGGACACGCCCCTGCCATGCCCCCAGCTATTTGGATCATTAATCATTTATATGCCAAAAATGATTTGTAAAACACAGAATTGTTTTTGTTTTTTTACCATTACTTTTTCTTTAAACTGACTTTTTAAAATAGTGAATGAGATAATTCAGAGATAAGTTTAGGGCTGCAACAACTAATCGACATAATCGATTATAATCGATTATTGAAAAAGTTGTCAACTTTTTCAATAATCGATTAATCGGCTTCTGATCAGTTGGCCCTGTTCACGGCTCCACACACGCTGCGCGCCGCACCTCCTCCCCACCTCACGCTCGCCGCTGCCAGACCCGCCCGCCAGCATCCACAATCTTCACGCCGCACCTCCTCCCCCCCTCACACTCACCGCCCGCCCACATCCACGATCGGCACAGGGACGCGGGGAGATGTAGTAAGGAGGAGCAGGTGTGGGTGGATGACAGCCGCCGATAGGTCCGATCTCAGAAGCAAGTTGCTGGAAGACTGCTCAGGTAAGCCTGCACTTTCCCACACATGGTGCTCTATAATGTATTGCTGGGATTTGTATTCCTCTATAGCTGAATATACATTGTGCTGTATATTATACAGAGCATTGAACCTCAGCTATAGAGGAATACATTATACACTGCTGGGTGCTCCTAATATAGCTGGTGATATTCTGCACTGAGCTGTATAGAGGACTACAAATCCCAGCAATAATACATTATACAGCGCAATGCGGAATACCACCAGCTATAGAGGACTACAAATCCCAGCAATAATACATTATACAGCGCAATGCGGAATACCACCAGCTATAGAGGACTACAAAACCCAGCAATAGTACATTATACAGTGCAATGCAGAATACCGCCAGCTATAATGTACTATTGCTGGGATTTCTAGTCCTCTATAGTCGGTGCCATTCTGCATTCATTGCTGTATAATTTTACACTTTCCTTTTCACTATATTGCACACCACTATTTTTGTTTTCTTTTTTACTTCTACCGCTCCAAGCTTGCTCCTGTGATGGACTGCAATCTCAATACAAACTAGTAGTCCATCACTGGAGCCATTTTTAAAAATGTATTGTATTGTTTATCCGATTAACCGATTAATCGAACTTAATAATCGGCTAACTAATCGATTTTGAAAATAATCGTTAGCTGCAGCTCTAGATAAGTTGAAGATTTTAGTGCAGAATAACACTTTTGCTAGTTAAATATTACATTTTCATATAGATCTGTACATCAGACCAAAAAGAGGGACAGCCAAAGAGGAAAAGGGGACAGAGGGATTTGGTTCCAAATGAGGGACAGTCCCTCCAAATCAAGGACAGTTGGGAGGTCTGCTCTTTAAATGTCACTTTTGAAGCAAATGGCACTTTAGTCAGCTTAACAAAAATATATAGTGATGTGCATTGTCGGCTCTGAGATATTTGCTGAGGCTGACATAGCTAAGTGTTTTATATTTCATAAGTATGTCATTAATTCTTAAAGGACCAATAGGCTGAGAAATGGTAACCATGACCTCCACAAAGAGGTGTTAGCTTCACTTCAGTGTATTTTTAGTGTTGGACTTACCATGTATCCAAACTCTGTAAACTTTCCTCTCTCCAGATAAATGATTAAGTGTATGTTTTAGCAATGTCAGAGACACAGAACAGATGGAAGGGTTCTTCATTTTGACTTTAAAAGGATATACTTAGTTTTACTACTATGAGATTCCACAAAATGAATACAAAGCTTTCAGGGGTATTTAATGACTATCTGGCAGTGTTCCAAAGGAGCACAGGAATTCTATTTGTCACAGCTTCTGTTCACCCATAAATCAGGGAGATGCATGTTGTTGGCCTTGGTGCTAAGCATTTTTCATATGGACTTCAAGAGAAATAGTGTAGCCAAAACTACAGTTGTATTATGATTATAGCTGCTACTACTGACTTGGAGTTCTTCAGTGCATTAATCAGTCGTGATTGTGCACCATCTGGTTTGATCACATGACAAACAAAGCAGATTACATATTACTTATATTTGGAATGATCATAGATCATGGCAGAAGTGGAAATAGATAAGACCTTTAAACACTTAAGACACCTTAAGTCACTACTGATTATGATTACTGTCTTGTTTCAGTGTTAGTCCAATAGTTCTACGATCCTCCTAAGCTACTGTCATTTTTGGCAGAATTTCTGTAGAAGAAGCTTGTTTCAGTTGAGATACTACATTGGCTTCCAACAGTAAAAAAACAAAAGCCCAAAAGGATACAATTCAAAATATTAACAACCACTTACAAAGCCATCCACAACTCTGCTCCTGGATATATCTCAAACCTGGTCTCAAAGTATCACCCTAACCATCCCCTCCGCTCTTCCAAAGAACTCCTGCTTCCCAGCTTCCTCATCAACTGCTCCCATGCTCGCCTCCAGGACTTCTCTAGAGTCTCTCCCACCCCGTGGAACTCTTTACCCCCAACCTGTCCGTCTATCTCCCACTTTAAGACTCATCTCTGCAAGGAAGCCTATCCCACCTCAAACTAACCACTCAACCATCACATTCTCATACAATTCATTCCCAATAAGCTACCTCCTCATGTATCACTTGCCCCTCCCTTTTAGATTGTAAGCCCTCACGGGCAGGGCCCTCTTTGCCATCTTGTCTTGAATTGATTTGTGATTGTAATGTCTTCCTTATATTGTAAAGCGCTGCACAAACTGTTGGCGCTATATAAATCCTGTATAATAATAATAATATTCAGCACTATTCTACCCTTTCCTGTCAACAGATAATAGTGGTAGGGTCTCACTTATAATGGTGATGCTGTATGGTAATCCTCTCACATAAAGGCTAGATAGGATCAAAAAGGTTTGGCCTGGTATAAAAGAGTCTCAATGATTGTGGAGGGTGAATTTGGTGTTGTAGGTAAACATTCTCAAAGTCGATTGTATGTCCCTTAAGGGTAGGGAAGGTATGGCTCTCTAAAATGGGGTTTCATTGATGAAGGTTAGGGTGGTATTAAATGCACTATCCAATAAGAGTCTTCAATGATGCAGCAGTTTAAAGAGTAGGTTTTTGGTCTTCATGGCTGTGGGTCTGCTATTGAGTCAAAGTCCCTCCTCATAGGAACAGCAGGTTGGGGTCCTGTATACACATGGCCTTGCAGAATCAGACAGACAACTACTAGAAGCTCTGAACTCCTGCTTGGCTCTCCTCCCCGCCTGTTTAACTGCTTCCTGGGCCTGCTGTCTGCATATCATTTATTCTTTTTTCTGTGAGTTGTTACCTTAGTGTTTTGTAACCTGGAAATGCTCGTCATGTCCCTTTAAGTTAGAAATGCAGTAAAGATGAATGTGGCAAGTTTAAACTTAAACTGCAATGTGGAATTTGTTGCATGTATAAAAAACATCTATTTCAGGCTGTCTACCCCAAGAGACGGTAGAAGCAAGGCTGCTAAAATCACACCTGTTATACATTTTCTTTTAGGTCCAAATCATGGAAGAGAAGCTGAGAGCAGCTAATGTGCAGACCAGCGAATCTGAGATGAGGTGGTACAAGAAGAGCCAAGAACTGGAAGTCTTAGTGCAAGAGAAGGATGAACTCATCCAATGTTTGGAACAAGAGCTGGAAGAACAGGTGACTTTGGGTTTCTGCTGCATTTTTCTCTAGTCTTCGGGGATGTTTTTTTATGAATTTAAGTGGAAATTAATGCATATGTTTAAATGAATTAAAGCTTGGCTGAAATATTCACATTTTCATTCTCACTTTTCCAGAGTTTAAGCAGATATTTTAACATCTTTTTCTATAGACATCAGACCCTGTTTATTTCTACAGTATATGTCTCAGCTGTTCAATTTAAATGACAATTCCAGCTTATGCCACCTTGTTTTCAAACAGTACAAAGGTGGCAAAAATACCTTTGGGGAGCTGTAAGAAGATATGATATGAAATATTATCAAGGGACCTGTTTGTGTAGTCATCAACAGGCTTCAACCTATCAATTGCTGTCCATCAGGTTAACTGTTTTGAAGCTACCATACGCAAGTCATACACGAAGCAGTTATACCTATTATTGCTAGTTTGTGAGCTACAGTATAACATCATGTAAATGTTGTTGGTGCTTGATCTGTCTACCCTCACAGAAAAAATTAAAGTCAAGGCTCCGGATGCTCATTTTAAATATTGGATCAAGGATATGATTGACTTCCCCATTGCCTGATTCTTTAAAAGCAAATCAGCAATTGCAGGTCCGACTTTCCTACCCTTAAAGATTCCCTTTAATGTTGTTCTGTTGTTGTATACACTTATCTTTGTGTAAGAATTTTGTGTTAATTGCTATGATTGTAATTCAAAAACCACACAGTTGTTATTTCACATTACTTACAGTCTAAGCATGGATGAACACATTGGCCTGCAGCAGTAAATTTTATCTCCATTTTGTCTTCTAGAAGCAAATACGAATACAAGAAGCAAAGATGATAGAAGACAAAGCTGCCAAAATCAAAGACTGGGTGACGGGAAAGTTGAGAGAGGTATGGATGAGATAAAAACAAAACAATCTTATGCAAATAAAAACTCATTCAATTATAGTAAAATTAGCTGCTCTCTGCTGTATAAAACATATATTTTTTATTTATTCATGTCTCCAAGCAAGTGTCGCCAGTCTGGCTGGTCTCTCCAGGCTCATTTGAGTAAACAGGATGCATGCAATCAGAATTAATGCCCAAGTAAAACTATTCTTCAGGAGGGCCAGAACCAAAGATAAAGGAGGTCCAAATAATAAGTGTATGATTTTTTTTGTTGGCTCGGCAGTGTAGCATGATATTTCATCATGCATGGTACATTTCTATGTCACAGATGGATTTAGCCAACCTTTTATTTATTTAGTGCTTGTTTACGCATTTGATCTTTTATGGTGTTAAGTGGGTAGTTAAAAGAGAACTATGGGGTAACCTTTTTGTCCCATAGTTCTCTTTAGGGTCACGGGAGGACATACACTAACCTTCTCCTGAAGGGGGGAATCTCTGTGGGCAACGGTGACTGACAGTCACCGCTCTCTGCAGTGAGAGGATTGGGAACTGAGCGAGCAGCGGTCTGTTTTCGCTCACTTCCCGATCAATAGAGCCGATCTGTGACAGTTTCAATGTCACACGTTGGCTCTAACTATGGGGAGGAGTGTAATTCACTCACCCTATAGTACTCCTTTAAGTCCTAGATCTGTTGTATAGTTTTGTTGTTCATAATGTTCTCAGCCAATGTATTTGGTTGTGTTGTATTGTACTGTATGTTTTAACTAAAATAAAACTGGAGTTTTAAAGTTAAAAAAAAAAAATTTCAGTCAGTCTAGCTCAACCTTTGCAGTCTTAGCCAAAAATGTGTATAACCAAAATAATTGGTCTAGTGACAGCATTGGTAGTCTTTTGGATGGAGGAAGGATCACTACTGACAATGACAAATAGAACCGTTATGTAAACAGATTTTCTGTCCTGCCTCTATGATATTCAATGAAAGTGTATGTAAACACTAACAATAAACTCTCCTATTTGTTCCCTTTTGGTCTTTTAATTATACCTGTTGGTCCTGCTACAAATCTTGTGAGCTGATAACATCCTGTGCGCTCTGCCTGGGCTGCACTGTTACCAGCTGCATTGCTCCAATCTCTCTCTGTGAACTACAGAACACCCATCCCTCATGTTGTGGACGAGGTGTTCTGCCGTCCTAAAACACTTTCTGTCTTATGTGACAATGCTAATCCTCCATGAATACAGAAGGGTAAGTGAGTACTGTCACCATAGGACAGAAAGAATGTTATTGGCAGGATCACCAGGTGAAGATAAAGGAAAAAAAGAAAAGTAATGCAGCCACCACATCTAAGCACTGGCAAGCTACAACATATTACATTTTGGTTCTCGGGTTTAGCTATGCTTAAATTACCAAATTAGAAAGTTGTGTGTTTCCTATTTAAGTGATGATTACATGGAACACAATCATACTATAGAGCTGCAATATATTATTTTTGTCTTGTGTATGTATTAGTAACAACTCACATTTTTATCCAGCTGGAAATTGAAAATCAAAATCTTCGGTTCATCAACAAAAGCTACAGTGAAGAAATAGTTGCTCTGCGTACCCGATCACAAGGTAATGGCCATGGATATTTATTACCCTTCTGTGATTTTTCCTTACAAACTTTACTTAAATAACTTTGCAAGATACTGTAACATTGATAATGCTATCATGACTTTTCACATCATAGCAAACAGTGAGAGTATTGCTGGCATACTTTTGGGCTTATCTCAGAAAATAGCACAATTAAAAATTGTTCTGTGTACTCAAGAAACATATTATAATCATGCACTAGTATTAAATTGTGTCCAAAGGCCTAAGGAAACCTGTGTCCAGACTATGCACATTAAAATATTTACATCTTCTGAACAAGCGGTAAAGGTGGCACTTTAAAACAATCTCTCATTCACCTACGCAGCTATAAGCATTTTGGAGAAATGAATCTTCAAATTTCACATTGATTCACAGCTCCTGTACTTTTATTTCTCTGGCAGTATTGACTTTGCAGCCTGTAGTGTAAACAAACAGCAGGCGCTTCTATGCTGTTAGAACCAGAATTAAACAGATTTCTGTGGTTTAATCTTTGAGGATGAATTACTACACAGTACAATGAGCTAAATAGGCCATTGGGTGCTTGTTTAAAACTGTAATTTCCATAGTTTGGACTTCAGGGTTTAAAATAGGGTTCAGTGGAGAAAGAAGAAAAGGAGAGTAAATGGAGGATAAGGGGCAGGAGGTGAACAGTCTGATGTTTCCACAGGGGGCGCTTGAACATAAATACTTACCCGTTAAACTAGGAACTCCTGTTATGTATCCTCATGCTACCCTGTTGAAATCTGGCACATCCTGTCGAACATGCATTTGCAAGTTTGACCATAAATAACATACTGGACATTAATACTTTATTATAAAGTATATTAAAGATTCTGACATTAACATACACATTGAAATAATTTAAACATGCCTGTTTTTGTCAGTGAAAGCAAAAGGCTTAAAGAAAAGACACACATGATTTGTCAATAATGATCTTCTGAAAATGCTAATGCAACGCTCGGATTGTAATTCCTTGAGTTCCCTATCCTAGTGGATACTATGCAGCCAGTAAAGTCACTGCACCTAATATCCATACTTGTTCTGGGTCACTGCCTCAGAAAGTACTGCAGCAACGGCATGACAGACAACTTGCATTAGTGCCTTAATCACATAAGAAATTATTAGTGATTGGTAAAATTACCTCATGTGGAGGATCACTGTTTCAGTGTTTCCATTAGTTGACCAAGTGTCTGCAGTAACCTCCTAAAATCTTTTAACCTGAGGACCATGGAGAGCTTGATAAGGACCATCTTATTCCCTAGGGTACCATTATAGGCTTGTTGTCCCTAAAGTCCTATGAAGCAAGCCATTATTACAGTAGTACAAGACCCTCCTACTCTACTTCTGTTTCAGATACAAGAAGTAAGAAATCCCCAGCCTGCTCCACCCCAAAACAATCAGAGGGCCAGCGTGTCAGCAACCTGACATTTGGGTGCTTCCAGAATAGAGCAAGAAGCCCACAGATGGACCAGAAGAGAGAAGAAAACATCAGGTCACACAGTGAAGCTGCTGATCTCAGTGAAGGTAAAAAAAAAGTCTGCTGAAGGCCCCCAACTTCTTTATGCACTAAAATGATCTCCAGAACAGTCATTCAAGTGTCTCTTCGTTCCAGGTTCTATACAACAATTAAAAAGCTCAGCTGTGTGTTATCTAGTGCTGCCATGTTAGTCTTAGGGCAACATCAACCACTGAATTATAGTCTCTAGTTTCTTGGTATATCTGTTCTAAACTGCACACAAATGTTATAAAACTTTCATTGACTTCAGAAGTGTCAATTTATGCCTAATCTATGTCTGCAGATCACTGTACGAAAGAGAAGATCTCCAGTTCTCAGTGGCAAGATGGGGAAACAACACTATCACCCATGCTGCAAAGTTTCTTCTCTGTGGAAAGATTAGGCAAGGGAAGGACCAGTTCAGATATTCCCAGTATAACTGTAAGTGACTGGAGTTCTGAAGAAGACATCAAGAAATCTCAGAACGGTGCACGGTGTGTATCCACACGGTCAAGCCAGACTTCTGAAGATGGCAACCAGAACAGTAAACTGAGCAGTGAGATGTATCTAACAGCTTCAGAGGAAAGTAACTTGGCAGATGAATGCATGACCTCACCTAGCAGTGACCTGGTTCAGATATATTCTTTGCAGAAAGGACTGCAGAAGAGCATTACCTTAAGTGGCAAAAAATATTTCACTTTCGCAAGTCAACGGTCAAAACTGGACAGCTCATCTGATGACCCAAATTCTAAGCTACAGCACGAAGCCTCAGACTGTTCCTTTTCAAATGGTGAAGCCAGTGCCTCAAGTCCAATGTTTACAACAAACTTTTCATCTTCAAAAGCATTAGACTCTACATTTGGACCTCAGTGTTCCAACTCAAAGGAACAGGCAACCAACTTGCCATCACCCAAACAACGAACTCCTAACATCTTAAGTTTGAGCTTAGCCATGGCCAAGAAACATCTTAGCCAACCACAAATGAGTTCAGATAGGATGTTCGGTAAGGATAGGAACGCCATAAGTATGGTAAAGCCTTACAGACCGCAGGAAACTGACATCGATTTGGTGGATGAGCAGGCTGAAAACATTTTGCAAAAGATGGACACGGGTTGTGGTGATGGTCTCTTTTCATATGATGTACAAGAGAGTCACGCTACCAACCAACTAATCTCAAGTTCTCCAGAAAAGATAACTTCTTCCAAACCTCCAACTCCCCCACTGCATCGCTTTCCTTCTTGGGTAAGAATTACTTTTCTTTATTATGATATATTTTGTTGTTTAGAAGTGATCAGCAACTTATCAGGCTTTAATCTATGTAACGTTCATTACTGACACATTGAAGGGATGTGGACAAGGATAATGCTGAATAAATATATGAAATATAACTAATTATTCAAGCCCTACTCCAATCAGAAGTTCTTTTATTTTAGTTTTGTATACAGGAGGGAAGGGTTGGAGCCTCTTTTAGGACTGGAAATTATAGGAAATCTCTTCAATGGCGATACAGGGGGAGAAGGGTACAAGATTTTTTTTGCTGTCCATGCCATGTTTTTTCCAACAAGCGACTAGTTTCATAAATCAGCCCCTAATTGCTTTTCAGTTTTATTTTTAAAATACAATGGGGGGAGCAAACGGAATCTGGAGCAGTTGCCTATGGCAACCAATCACCTACTCTCTTCAGTTTGTTCAGTTAAGCTTTGTAAATGAAAGACAAAAACTGATTGGTTGATATGGGAAGCAAAAAATATATACTTGAATTCAGTTAATAACTGTAAAATTTACCCGTAGGAAAATCGCATATATGCTATTGCTAAATCTGGTATAAGGATGTCTGAAGTTTCCGTGGATCCTAACAAGAAAGGTAAGATGTTTGTGTTCTCTACTAACTGAGCATAACACAATAGTTGCATAACAATAGTTGTAGTAACAGCTTCAATAAAATAAGATAATGGGCTCTATAGACATGTTTGAAATCTAGCTTGTGTGTCAACCATGGCTCCTCCCATAGACTCAATAGAGTTTAGTCACCCAGGGACAGGAAGTGTGTTATCTGCAGAATTACCAGGGGTAAATACAGCGGGAAAAGCCTATAAAAAGAAAGCTAATACACCCACCTCTTCTAATGACTGGAAATCTGCAAAATATACAAATTATGCTTTAAGCCAGTACTAGAGGGATCTGGGTGTGCTCCCCCTCCTCCCACCTCCATAGACATAAACATGCATGCTCAGACATTACAGCCATGAATGTTTCTACACATGTCGGATAAAAAGAAATGCTTGGACACTCATGCACTTTCAACTGCCATTTAACCTCTATGACATTAAATTGCACAAATGCGGCAATGAGTTTTATCACACTAATGCATCATTTCTAAAACAGAAGCAGTGATTATTGTATTTCGGTGGGTGAGCAGAGGCAAAGGATTTTAACATATTACGTTTTTATAATGTGTTTTGAGTGCCAATATTAAAAATAAGATGTTTGTCTTGTTGTAAAATGCTGTTATTGGAAAGAACTTGGATATTATTTATTTGCTGTTTTTGTTATTAGTTTTTTTACTTGATTTTACTTTCATATTTCTCTTATTTTTCATTAGTTGGCACAGCAATGACATCATGTTCAACATCTGGTGTCTACACATCTCTGATATACAAGAACATGACCTCTCCCGTCTATACCACATTAAAAGGGGTATGGATTGCTAAATACAACTACTGTAGTGAGATAACCAAGATAACCAGATAATACAAAGGGGTTATAGCTTCAATTTGTGACTGCCTTTTTGTTCCAGGGGATTAAAGACCCTCTATACTAACAGACCATTTTTTTTATAGTTTACCGTCACATTTTTGTTTTACCAGTTGTGAAAGGGGTTTAAGTATGATTGTGCAGTCCAGTACTGAACCAGAGTTAGACCCAGTGCTCTCAATTATCAGCACTCAATAACAGAGCTGGTCATACACGACCACCCCTCTTCTCTGCAGTATAAATCTGAGTGGACACTTGTGCTGTGGGGTGTGTCTGTTACTCAGCTACAATAGGACAGACCACTGCAGTGTGGGGGGTAGAAGGCAACATGTTCACTAAGAGAAAAATATATTTTAAGGAATTTCTAAGAAAAAGATGAGTTACAAATTATAACTTGTGGTGGTACAAGATCATAAAGAGATTAAAGGATTGAGAATTCAATTTGACTTCCACTTTTTTAACATATAGAAAGCAACTCAGATAAGTACTAGTCCTTTGGAAGATTCTTCAGGATCTGAGGAAGAAGTCAACTCGTGCTCCAGCTCTCGGACATCTGAGTCAGATTGTCGCAATCAAAGTGAGGCTGGAAGTCCTCGTGCTCTGAAGAGAGGTAGGCACATTTTTAAATCAACCCTGAAGTCATCTAAAATTTTGCAAAGTGCTTTGGAATGTTATAGCAGGCACCTCCAGGTGGCTGCACATCAAGTAACCTTTCCTGTTGAGCGCTCCAGGAGCAAACTTGGAACAGATCCCCTGGTTGAAAGCCTGGTTCCACAACTTCATGCCTCCTGCACCTCACTATTGCCAAATGAAGCCAGTCATTATAGGGAAGGACCAGTAGTAGAGTCTCTGCCATATCATTTAAGAAGCACCTAAATTTAACCTGTGCTTTGCCAATGCAGGGCAAAGCAACAGGTTCTCTTTACTGTTGCCCTCCCCAGCCACAAATACTCTTCCTCCTTTGGCTCCCTTGCCATTCTGGTTGCTAGAAGTGAAAAGTTGAAACCCTGTGTAAGCTCCAAGTCATTATTTTTTAACTTCCCCTTTGTGATAGCGCTGGGTTCCTTAGTAGGCAGTCATGGTGGAGGAAGGTAGAGCAAGTAACATGCTCCCCTTTCCCAGAAGTATTTTATATTTCTTTCTGGCAGCAAATTGATGTGGCAGGGGAGTAAAAGGAAGATGGGTATGTGCTGCTTGGGAAAGAGGCTGTTAAAAAAGTGTGTTGCATTACCGTGGATTGGTTTTGTAGTTCACATATGCTTTAAAGTGACATTAAACCTCAGATTTTTTAACATAAAACAATACTGTAATGTGTGCCTTACTGTAATCCATGGTTGTTTCCCTTCTCTTTGCTGCTCTTCCTTTTAAATATGTATCTGTTCTCATGCTGGGCAGAACTTCTGTTTTGCAGCAGACTGCCTTGTCTCTGAAATGGATACATGGTGTCTGTGTGTAGGTTTGCAACCTGAGCCAGCACTACAGGAAGAGGCACTCAGCTGCAAAGGGAAGTTCTCCCCAAGCATGAGAAGACATGAGGATTTAAAAGGAAGAGCAGCAAAGAGAAGGGAAACGACCATGGATTACAGTAAGGCACACATTACAGTATTGGTTTATGTTAAAAAATCTGAGGGTTTAATGTCACTTTAAGTTCCAAACACAAATTTTTACCACACTAATAATAGAAATAATGATAACAAATATTATTTTGTACAAACCTATATATGTAAATATATTCCCTATTTGGCTTGTTTCATTTATTAACATTCTTTCTCCGTTTTGGATGCAGTCATGTAAGGTTTAATTTCTCGCCAGGTCTTTTCTTTTGGGATTGTCCCACACCACTAGCAAGGCCATATTAGACCAAGAGTGTGTAATTTTCCTTGAACGGCTGATGTTCTCCATTCTCATAAACGTTATAGTGAATTCTGCAGAGTAATACAAGGATAAATTTGGAGCTGGTGACAATGGGCAGCATAGACTGAGCCTGGTCTGTCACAGCGAGAACGGGGTAACCTTCCCATCTTGGTCTTAAACAAAAGTTATAACCTGGAGGAAGATTAAACCCTGGCACACTTTTCCAGAAGCCGATTTCTCTGCTTTGGTTGGAGTTTTCTAATATCACTTTGATGGTGAGATTTTCCTTGCATCAGATTGAAACAATCATTGGGCAGGTTGAAGGGTGCAGGCAATTGAGCACATGAAAAGCACTTTTTTATATCACTTTTTGATATAGCAAGAAAGTGTGCAGCCAAAACTCCAACCATTTTGCACTCCTATAAATTTTAGTTTTTATATTTTTTAAAAATTGGAGTAGAAATTCTAACCCTTCCCTCTGCACTAAAATCAAGAGTATGGGTCTAATGAATCTAGCTGCCAACCATTATTCTTGTAGCTGTATGGTCCTGTAAGTGTAACAAGTAAACATTATCCCAAATAGAGGATTTAGGTAAGTTTAGTTTCGGCACCCAATACTCTGTGGTTAGGTAATGTGGTCAATGCTGCAAAGTCTTGGCATACAGAGACGCATTAGCCTGCAGCTAATTGCTTAGTACATGTGGGTCCAATAATTAGGGGAACAAATAGACTTTAGTCACTCAGCTCCAACATTAGGAGCAGATGTGTTCTGGTGTTTTAGAGCTGTGTATACTGAAAGCACCTGGAAACATTTTTAATATTAAGTAAAAGTAATAGAAATAACAAATAACTATAACAAGGTATTTTCAAGCCAGCCTAATACATGTATTTATGTAGTGTGTGTTCATCATATAAAGATGAACACAAGATGATCACCTGCTTGAACAAAACTAACATATAAATCTGGATATGGACTTATAAACTTATTTAAGCAAAAAGCAAAAGCGAAAAAATCTAAAACAACCAGTCAAATTTAGAGAGAAACTTGACCCTAGCTAGGCAAAATGAAATTTCAAATCCCTAACAATTGTCCCTGTATGAAAATAAAAAAATCCATACTTACGAGTTCATGGAGTCATTAAAAATTGGTCAGGGTTGAGGGCAAGCTGGATCACAAGAAGGTTAAAAACCTTTTTCAGTCTGCATGAGAGCTGAGGCTGGGGCAGAGGTTCACCTTTCAAAAAGACAATGACCTTAAACGCACAACCAGTTACACTGGATTCATTTAAAACCAAGACAACAAATGTCAAATAATGACAAATGGCTAAAAATCTGTGGCAAGTCTTGAACATTTCTGGTTACCAAGAGTACCTATCCAACCTGAAAGCACTAGAGAAATGTTGCCAAGAAAAATGGGCAAGAATTGCAGAATCTAGATGATCAAAGCTGGTAGAGGTTTACCTTGTGGTTGGTATTGCAGCCAAAGGTAGTTCAGCTAAGTATTGACTTAATCCAGGGGGGATATTTATGTAACCATTAAATTCCTGTTTTTGTATAACTTTTGTGCCCTACTAGGGATCATTTTTTAATTTCAATCCCTGAAAGATATAACAAGGCAGCAGGTGATTATAATGTATGGGTGGAGTTGGGTTTTAAGGGTAACCTGTGCCTTGCCTCCCCCTACCCAGTATCGCTGAACATTTATTATAGTGACCTTCCATTTTCTTCCCTGAGAAAAACCCTGTGTATGTCCAAATCAATCTGCTTGGAACTTACAGAGGACTTACTCCATTCCCCATGGGGCAGCGTTTGGGCTTGGTTATTTGCTTCTGAAACATTGTGGGAGAATAGTGAGTACTAAGTTTCTCACTTTTCTCTGACATACATAGCGAGTAGCGGGTAGTGAAATTAAGGTAAGTTCAATTTTAGAAAAATAAGTATCTGTTAGTAGAGAGAGAGTTCTGACTTGTGTTCCTTTTTCTTCATAGGCATCTCATTCTCTTCCATGGCATCAGACAGCGACTACGCCATTCCTCCTGATGCATATTCTATTGACAGTGAATTCTCAGAACCAGAACAGAAGCTTCCAAAAACATGTTCCTCATCAAGTGACAATGGGAAAAATGTAAGCCATATGCAGAGGAAATACTGGGCTGCTGCGTTTAATCAACATAGCTTCCAACAGACGTATTGCATTATTAAAGCTGAAATCGGGAAAACATTTTTTTTACATACATACTGTTTAAACCATGTACATTATTATATTACTAATAAGGTGTATGCTATGTATCGAGGGCTGCTGCATAGTATAAAAATCATACCTTGCAGCATGCCGCCGCTGACACATATGGCTGGGCTTCCAGGTGCTGCGGGGAAGAGAGGTGCGGTTAGAGTAGTGAAAGGATTAAAGTGTATTTTCACTTTTGCAGTCAAATTTGAGAAAAGCCCACTATATGTTTGTAATTTGTATCTATTCACACAGAATACTGAAAAATAAATTTAAAAACAATTCTTCCCTTTTAGATGTTTTGTTGCAGCAGGCAACATGGCTGATTCCTGGTTTTTCTCTTTTTAAAGAAAAACTTAGGACTGAAATTTGAGGATTGTATTTTTCTCATAAACATCATTAACATACAATGGAGAAGCCCCTCACAACATTACAAAGGAAAGCAAAAGATACATTTTAAATATGTATTTTAGCTTATGTTATGTAAATGGAAACACGTAACAAATATAAAATAAGGGTTATTCCAATTTGGCTGCAAAAGTGAAAATATACCTTAAGGTGCATCCCTGCCACCGTCCTTACTCTTTGCCCAATCAATAAAAATACAATAGTTCTGTGATTGGAGAATGAGAGGAAGGGGCGGGGATGCTCAAGTCACATCCCTGTCCCCTCCTCACTCATATTTTAAAAAATACACAGAATAGAAGGAGTTCTGTGATTGGAGGATGAGAGGAAAGGGTGGGGCTGTGAAATCATCTCTTGTCCCCCAGTCACAGAACACCTTGTATTCTGTGGGAAAAATACAAGACTTTTTGTGAATGGGTAAGATACATCTCATACAGTTTTTTAGAGCTGTTACACACCTCCTGGAGTTCAGCTTTAAGGCTCCATTTGCACATAGCAGTTGTAAATTCAGCGCATTTTGACATATGCGTGGATTCCACACGTTTGCAGCTACGACTATAGCCGTTGTTCTATCAAAGTTTGTGGCTGCATTAGAATGTGTGACCGGTGACGTGGTCACACACTTTAACGTAGTCCCGCCCAGTTTTTCGGAGGCGGAATGTGTGACCGGTCACGTGGTCACAAATTTTTACGTAATCCCGCCTAGTTTTTGGCATTGGAAAAAAGGTGAAGAATTCCTTTCTCAGCTGTTCCAGGGCAGATCGGCATTGCAGATCGTATGTGCAGGAGAACCGATCTACCCTGAAACAGCTGATCGGTCCTGAAATGTCAGTTGTATCTGACTTTGTGGAATGTGAGATCCACTGACAAAGTCACATTTCAGGACCGATCATCTGTTTCAAGGCAGATCGGTTCTCCTGCACATACGATCTGCGATGCTGATCTGCCCTGGAACAGCTGAGAAAGCGTTGGAACTCTTCACCTTTTGCCGGTCACATATTCCACCGCCGAAAAAGTGGGCGGGATTATGTTAAAATATGTGACCAGGTGACCGGTTACACATTCCAACCCAGTCACAATCTTTGATGGAACACTGGAACGCACAGAATCTGCCCAGAATGGCACGCTTGGACTTTTTTGCTCGAGGTGCTTTTTCATGTCTTTTGGATGTCGCGCAGGTGTGAACAAAGTACATTATATTGTATTAATTTTTAAGTTTTGCACTAATATGTGAACGGAGCCTAAAGCAGACCTTGGAGGAAACTGTACCTGTAAGGAAAAACATTGAATTTATACTTACCTTACCCCCGTCTCCTGCATCACTGGGTGTGACATTACTGTACTTCAAGGGAAAATTCCTGGGTAATGTGGTGAAATCTCACAAAAAGACATTCCTATCCATTGCAAGAGCCTCTGCTTGCAATTTGGCTACTCTGTATTCCCCAGGGAAGGAGTGTGACACTATCACCGTGGAAGACAAGGGTAAGGTAAGTATAAACCCTAACTTTGTTCTTTACAGTTGCTTCAGTTTTTGTGAATCCGTTGCAAAGCTTCTTACCTGGAGATCCTGTGAATAGTAGACTACCTGTTGCAGGCTGACAAAGTTAAGCCAATGTCTTTCAATTAGTAGCAACGTTGTCAGAATGCCAAGCATGCTCCTTTTGCTGGCCCTTGGGCTGTCTATCAGATTTGCATATGCCTCTTTTAGACATGATGGGCCCAATGGCTAGCTCGGTGTGCCAAGCAGGGTGACAACACCGATGCTAAATGAAGTCTGCAACAGGAAGTAATGTTACTGGAAGGATCCCCAGGTAAAAAACTTTGCAATAGATACACAAAAAAGGATTGACAATGAGGCATGTTGCCAAACATACTGAAAAGTAGATTTAGATTTACATATACTTTACTAATCACTATTAGAATATCAACTTTTCATAGCCATTAATTCCTCCACAGAAATGCTTTTTAATCATTTTCTTTACTGGCACTGTATCGATAGCTAGCTTATCAACAGAGTATATGGCAAATCCAATAGTTTACAATAGAGAGTTTCCATCTACAAATCATTGGCTCTTTGTGATAGTAATTCCATATTGTGACCTCTAATTCCCATATATGAAATATTTTTCTATTACATTGAACTGCACCCAAACATTCTTCAGACTCCAATCGCTTCCAGGAAGTCAGCAAGTATCACTGTTAAGCTAAAGTAACCTGCAGAATCATCTGTTTGGTGTTATCAGATTATCTTGTCTGTATTAATACTCCGTTCTGTGTTGCCATCTGTGCGCTTTGAGGCTGCTGATCGTCCAACATGCAAAATTAATTAGTGACATAAGAATTTCCATTTTTCTATCTGGAAAATATCTCTGGGTGTGGATCGAAATATTCAGGGGGCTGGAAAGGATAGGGAAAACGTCTGTCACAGAGTTCAGATATGCATGCATGGGTTATATAGGTATACTATTATGGGGAGGACAGCTGAGTGCACGGGTAGAATCATAGACATGGGCCTTGGTTTTATAGTAAGTACATACAGTATGTGTACCTTAAAGCTGAACTCCAGGCAGACAGCTAAATTCACAGATAAAGTCACACATAAGGGAGCTGTTTTACCTGCCAAAAGATCTTTATTTCCGTTTATCCGGTTCTAAGACTTACATCTGCTACACAGCACAGCACTGTCTGGCAGGACAGGAGACTTCATTTTGTTTTTTTTTCAGTTCAGTTCATTAACACTTAGACCTCATGCACACACAACGCAAGAACAAAATTGTATATTGCATGTATGCGCGTATGTGCGCGTATACATGTACAGTATATGCGTGCACTGTATGCAATCCCAGAATGCATAATTTTTAATAGAAATTTTAATGTATTGTACGTGCGTAAAATACACAGAAATTACGAGCCCGGACGCATCTCGGTTGCATTTTTTTGTGCATCTTTACACAGCGCAAATATACGGCTCCATACGCAGGTCTTGTCTGTCTCCCAGCATGGTACTGGACAGTGAAACAACAAGCAGCAGGCTAAGCCCATCTCACTGTCACTCTGCTCTTTCCTCCTACTTGCATAACCCATGTTAGCACTTGAGCAGATAGGCCCTTTGTGCTGCTTCTCCCTCTTCTAGTCTGACCCCTACTGTACAGGGTCTGGTTGCAATAAAAAAAATTGTGTCTTTTATATCTGCTTGGCGTTCAGCGTTAATAATGTGTAACTTTAAGACTGATTATATTCCTATATTTCAGGAGCTCTTAGAAAAATCTGGATATTTGTTAAAAATGGGAGGCAAGCTAAAAACATGGAAGAGAAGGTGGTTTGTACTTAAAGGTGGAGAGCTGCTCTACTACAAATCTCCAGTAAGTGGCATAGTGTATTTCCAATGTAATAACAACTGATGCACATTGTGTTAAACTGAAAGGCCGCCATCTCCACCAACTACTTCTATCAGTAGAAATAATGAATGTGCCAGAGACAGACAGGCAGTTAGTGTTTTCAGAAGGAGGTCAGCAGTGGCTGCTTACATGCTCATTCCAATACAGGTATCTTTTAAAGCGGTAGTAAACCTCCGAAATGAACATGGGAATAGTGGCCCCCAGGAGGTTTGCCATAATGTGCTAGTATGCACAGCATATAAGTACATTTTGGCTGACTTGCCTTGCAGTTGATCCCCTTCAACCCTACAATGTCAGCGGTTTCCTCCCCCAGCACTTCCCCCAGTTCAGCATCTTCGGCCCTCTGATTGACCACGCTGGGGTGTTGCTAACTTCCATCCATGCATACAGGAGTTATCTCATTGCCTTCTCTCTCCTTTTGTCAGCATGTTCCTTGACAGCGCCTGTTTATGTAGCACTAAAATGCTAGTCTAAATGCTGCTGTGCTTGTGGGGGAGTATGGGAGGTGAATCTCAAGTCAAGTTTAGTTAAATCTACCTGCATTTAAAAAAAAGCAATTCATAATGTTTTACTAAAGAGGTAGCAGCATTAATTGGTGTATTTTCATATCTTAGCATAGCATGCTAACGTTTAGCAGTTTTCAATGGTGTTTCTACCTTAAACTGATAATTAAAGATGTTATCCTGCTGAAACACCCAACAACTTGGGGGAGGATTGGGAACCTTTGGCCTGAGGGGCAAACACAAATCCTACTAGCCATTTCATGATATGGACATGTTTTCGGTGGGCTAAAGAAAGTGAACTACGTAAAGTGTATCACGGTACTTCATTGATTGGTTGTCAAGGTGAAAGGTGGGTGTTCATAAAGAAGGTAGCTTATTGTGACACACCTTTAATATCTTCTAGAATCAACTTCCTTTGCAGCTCTTGACCACATGACATCTCAGAGACATAATGGAAGTTGAAGCTGGGAGACTTTCCTCTGCCATATGCAGTGATTGCATGTAGCTATATATTGCCCAGAAGCTGTCACTGACTGTGGGCCCCAATCTGATTGATGTCTGATTAATGAAGTATCTTCAGTCAGGTCCACCAGCCCAGCATATCTTATTAGGACTGGTCCAGGGGCCAAATGCCCCCTTGCTATCCTGCCCAATCATTCCCTGCAACAACTTCTAATACCCTACACTGAAATGAGGACTCCTACTTGTGGTCCAAAGTCTACCTAGGTGCAATGGCCACTTCAAATCTGATTTCCTGTGCACAATTAGAATATCTAGTTGGAAAATCTTGTGCCTGTAATCCTTGAGACGCTTGAGAATCATAAGTATCAATATTTTGCAGTGTGATAATATTCTCCCACTGACTGATTTTAGAAGTGACACACGATTATTCTTTTTTTCTTTCCTGGATAGCATAGCACTTACCTGTTTTGCGCTTTGTCTTGTTGTTTTACACTTTTAAGAAACAACTCTTTGTATTGTAGCTGAATATATTTTGTAAACTTATTGCTAAGGTGTTGTTGTTTTCCCGTGCAGAGTGATGTAATCCGCAAGCCTCAGGGTCAGATTGAATTAAATTCCTTCAGTCACATAGTGCGAGGTGACGGAAAACAGACTGTGCAGGTAAATGACAAATCACATACAATGTAATTGTGGTCTAATCCTCCTCTAGATGGAGATAACATATGGCAGCATTTTTGTTCAGTGTTCACAGCCACACACTGTACATGTTATGCACTGTATACACATGTAAGGCTCACTTCACAAAGCTTACCACAACGATAAGGCTCTCTAATTTAGTCATGTGAGGGTCGTTTTGAAATCTTTTCCTGATGTGTTAGCTTTGTGATTTGAGCCTATAGTGTTTTTCATTTTATTATCCAGTTTTATTGAATTATTTTATTTGTATTGCTTTAGTTTGTATTAAAGGAGACCCTCTCCCTTTCTATTCCCCCACTCTCATTTTATCTGCTTCTCATTGTTTGAGGGCCCAGCCACACCATATCCAGTGCGTTCCGGCGCGGTCCGAGCCCAGGACGCACTGGATTGCATAGATCAGGCCAGGCAGCGTTCCAGGGAGGGAGGGGGCTGTGCCATTTATGTTAATGGCACCGCAGGCATGCCCCCCACCCGCAGTGTGCATGCATAGTGCATGCAGTGTTTTTTCCGATCACAATGCACCGGAACGGAGGGCATTCCGTTACCTCACGTTCTGGTTCTGGTGATTGCACTACAGGAAGGGAGTGTGCCCGCGGTGCCACTGACATGAATGGCCCCGCCATGCTCCCTCCCGCCCCGGAACGTGGCCCGGCCTGATCTATGCGATCCAGTACGTTCCTGGCTCGCACCGCGCCAGAACACACTGGATATGGTGTGACTGGGCCCTGAGTTTTGCTTTGGTCTCAGTACATTTTTTCTTACATTCCATTCACATTTGCCCATAATGTACACTTTTTAAGGCCTCCAATTTGTTCTCTTAAGATTTCCTTCTTAACCAAAAATTCAAATGTGTTTTGAGTGTCCCAAGGTGGAATGCCATCCAAAAAAATAATATATATATATACACATATATTACTTTGTAGAACCAAATTTGATGAATTTGTGATCTCATATTTCATGATTTTTATGTTTCTTTTCACAGCTGGTAACAGAGAAACGAACGTATTACCTGACGGCAGATTCCCCTAATATCTTGGACGAGTGGGTACGAGTATTACAAAATGTGCTCCGGGTCCAAACAGCCAGTGTTCTCTTCACTCAACCAGATGTCAAACCCACTGTGAAGGGGCTCCTTACAAAGGTCAGATATTTATGAAAGAACAGAATAAGACAGTGTTCTTAAAGGAGAACTATGGGGTCATTGTTTTTCCCCATAGTTCTCCTTAGGGTAACGGGAGGACACAAACTAGCGTCCTCCCGTTACCCTAAGCTCAGTATACCGCGAGCTACAGCTCGCGGTATACTGAGACGCCGCAGCCGGAGCGGATCCCGGCGTAGATGACGGGATCTGCCCAGCTGCGTGAGTGACAGCTGGATCTGCCTATCTAGAGGCAGAGCCAGCTGTACCCGCCCCCTCCCCGTCCGTTCCGCCAGTCAGCGCTGGCAGATCGGAGCGGGGAGAGGGGAACCCAGCCCCTCCCCCTATCACGGCAGAGAGCCGTGACAGGATCGAGAGGCGAGCGAACCCGGTATGTGTTCGCTCACCTCCCGATCTACTGAGCCGACCGGTGACAGTCTCATTGTCACAGGTCGGCTAGAACTATGAGGTGAGTGAAAAGCACTCACCTCATAGTTCTCCTTTAAAGGACTTATCCAGCCCAATGATTTCAGGGGAGGTAAATTATGTGAAATATGGAAAAAAAAAAAAAAACTTTAGTAACTGTAGTTTTATACAATTTCTCGGGCGCACACGCAATTTTAAAGTTTGACATGTTTGGTGTCTGTTTATCCGACGTGGCCCTATCTTTTATGTTTACCAAAAAATTGGATAATAATAAATGTTTCATACCATAACATTTGTTTTATTATATAGTAAGAAATAAAAACCCAGTGGTGATTAAATACCACCAAAGGAAAGCTGGTATAAAATTAATTTCAGTACAGCATTGCATGACTGAATAAATGTCACTCAAAGTACTGCAGTGCTGGAAACTGAAAAATGGCCTGGACAGGAAGGGGTTTAATCACCTGGTCAGCAAGTGGTTAGTTGAATAGTAAAAGCAAGAAATGTATTCACAAAACAGCCGGTAAATGAGAGTCTATAATATCAGAAGTATTGTCAGCACTGTGAGAACATCGGAACAGCCACAGCATAAAACATGCAGACTGGAGTGCACGTCCTTCTTACTGCATATCAGCCGCGGGTTAACGCGTTTCTGGGGCGACGCCCCCTTCCTTAGAACCTCCTGTACGTTAAAGGATCTGTCCTGTTGAACCTTTTCATTGGCTTTAATCTATCTTACAATATGTTGCTTTTTTTTTAACACTTTACAGGTCAAACATGGATACTCTAAGAGAGTTTGGTGCACATTGGTTGGAAAAACATTATATTATTTTCGCAGTCAGGAGGAAAAGGTAAGTGGAGTCAGAAACTAAAAGGTCAAAAGGATTAATCAATAATGATCTTAAAAGTCAAGATTAAATTGGCAAATTCAGCACTTATTTATGAAAATCTTAAAAAAAACATTTACCACCAACGTAGATAATGGACATGACTTTCACATAAAAACTATACTTATTTTAATGGAACAAAAAAGGTTTTGATTAGGTTTGAGTTAGTAAATGATGGGTGTAGCCCAATTTCTCATCCAGCCACCTGTCCTCTGTTGTACTAGTGATGGGTAGCAGAATGCATGTACTGTAGGCTTAGGGCTTAACCCTGATTGATAGCTTATCACTTCTGTTGATGATCTGCTATTGTAGTGTGTGTCTGTTAGTGTTACTCTGCTGTCAAGTTCTGCCTCTGAAGCCTGGACTGTTTTTATTACAACTTGAGCTTATATGGAGCTTTTGCCCACAACAATCAGATTTCTTCTTTCAAATGAAACATGAAATCTTACCGATAGTTACAGGCAACATCTTTGGTTTCACTTCAATCTTAAAAAGCCATGTAACATGTAGGGGAACATGTAAGGTTTTATGCCTGTGTCACAACACTGAGCTTGGTGGAGCAGTGTCAGGTCCACCGCATACTTGGTGACAAAATGGAGCCCCACTACAATAACTGCCAGTATTACCTGTTAGAATCGCTCCATTCACTTCAACTTGTAAAATAACTGGATAAATAAATGTAGAATTCAAAAGACATTTAGCCCATGTTAGGAGCCAGCAGACTTTTTAAGAAACCAGGACTGTCGTTCCATTCTTGACAAGAAAAGGGAGAAGAATTAGGCACCAACTGGACTTTTGGAAGCAAAATGACCAACTGGTTCCTGAGATTTTTCCAGCTCTGGGTGAAGACACGTATAGGCTTAGTATAGAACTGATGTCAAAAGTACAAAGCTTCTTTCAGTGTGTTGCTCTGGATATGGTTGAAATTTGGCTTATTTTTAAAAGCCAATACAAGAGCAATAAAAATGTGTTTGGTGAAGCAGCCAATCATGTTTCAGCCCACTTGAAGATGTTTAATGATTAGTTACTGTAGGTTAGTATATATGTATGCATCTTATTGCGCTCTGCAATTTTTAAAATGAAGTGGTAGTCTAAAGTTTTGACAACAGTTTGGTGAGTATTTATAGCTCCACTATACACCACAAAGTTTCTCCACAACACAGCCTGCATTTAACGACTATAAATGCAGGCCACAGTGTGGAACCCGTGATGTTCTCTTTGTTTAGCTCTGCATAGAAAACTCTGTGATTGGAAAAGAGGCCATATGACCAGCCCTTCATTGTGCTTCATAAATGTGGCAGGCTTGCTTTTTTAATGCATTATTTTGTCCAAGGTAAGGCCATTTTGCTGCTTTATAAATGGACCCTTTTAGTTATGGAATGGAATTGAGATAATTGTTCATCAAAATGAATGCACAATTTTGGGGAGTTGAGCCTCTAAGCAGTTAAGCCACGGGTTGAGGAAGGCTGTTCCTGTATTTAATTGTCTGCATTGGTGACAAGCATGTAGATTATAATGAATACATTTTGACATTCCATGCAGTTTCCGCTGGGACAAATCAAGCTCTGGGAGGCCAAAATAGAAGAAGTAGACCGGACCTGTGATTCTGATGAGGACTATGAAACAAGTGGACGCAGCCTACTCTCTACACATTACACCATAGTTATTCATCCCAAAGAGCAGGACCCCACATACCTTCTCATCGGATCCAAACATGAAAAGGTAAGACCATGGGTACCAAGGGCCTAGCTTACATGTTTTTTTTCCAATAAAGTCATCAATCTGCACATGAATTTGAAAGAAATCTACAATTAGAGAATTGGGAGGTTGCCATGGCTGAGCTCTCTGAACCCTATGTCTGATAATGCTAACGGCCTGGCTGTTGTGCTGACATGCAAAGGCTGGGCTAGGAAGCTCAAAGCATTTCTAAGCCTAAAACCAAAATGTAATATATTGCAGCTTAACAATACTTAAATGTGATGGCTGATCACCTGATGATTTGGTCAGTAGCACACTTCCTGTTTAGGATGGCTCTACTTTAGGGACGATCAACAGAGCCACCCTTGGAAAGCAGAATTGTCATCTTGTAGACATGGTAGTGTTAGAGGGACTAGGAAATTTAAGGAAGTGGCTAACAAATTAAAGATGAACTCCAGCTAACACTTTTTAAGCAGTTACATCAACCAGTTTTTTTTCTTTTGGAATGGTTTTACTTCAATGACTACAAGCTGACCATTGTAAGCACTCCTGTCAAATGGCACCCTGAAACCTTAAAATTACTCTTGACATTTGCTGATACATACAGTTGCAATTTAACATAATAATGTAAATGTACAGAACTAGATAAATCAGATTATTGTATTTGTGAAATATATTTAATATGGGTTATGGTTCTTTTGGGCTGTATTTTAGGATACCTGGCACTATCACTTAACCATGGCAGCTGGAGTGATGGGAGCTAGTGTGGGTACAGAGTATGAGCAGCTGGTGTGCAAACTGCTGAGCTTGGACAGTGACTCCTGTAAGTACTGAATTCACTTGTACTATTCCGCAAGATTTTTTTTTTAACTCTAGTTTTACAGCTTTGTAGTTGTAGTAAACTTCAGCGATGCCGTTGCTGATCCCTTCTCCATCACAGCTGCCATCAAAATACCTGGAGCCTAAAGGGTGTGCTTATGTCACCCTTTCTGTCATGTAACAGTGCACAAGCCTAGCAATTGGCCACTAGGGCTAAGCACTGCATCATGGGAGGAGGTCACACGGTCCCCCATACCAGGAAACACTGGGTATTTTGCACCAGCTGCAACAGGGTAATGAGCAGAGGAACTACAAAGACTGCTTCCTCTGTTATCTAGTTTTGAGTGCGATGCTTTAAAATAAACAGATGGACAATTTAATAACTGTGCTTATAGACATTGGCAGACATGCAGATGCCCTTGGTGTGGATAGCAGGATGGGCCCAACCCAGTGATGGAATAGAACCACCAACTGAGGATGCTGAAGGACCCTCCAAGATCCTCCTCATAAGTCCTCTAGCATCCTTAATTGGCCTTTTTTTCCCATTTCTAGGTTGGGTCCACCGTGTTGTGCACTCATGTCTTTACCACTGTCCATTGTCCTGTAAGTGCAAGTTTCCAAGTGCCCATTTCCTAAAAATTAAACCCAGCATAATCTAAAGTTTGTTTAGTTTTATATATCCCTGTTGACCCTGTTAACCTTTTAATCTTTTTCATAGAATGGCGACAGGTAGAACCTCTGCCAGGCTGTTATTGCTGTCTGGGTCCATGACAGGTGTATTTCCCCCTTATTTTCTGCCCCAATGGCAGTTCTTCCAAGGACAATAAGTGAGGGGAAATCCTAATCAACATGGACACAGGCCATAGTGAAATGTCTGATAGAGGGCTTTTAGTCTTTCAGTACTGAATGCTTTATTGTTCTTGCTCTTTTGTTTCTCAATGTTTTCAGTCAACACTTTTTCTTAAATCAGTTGAATCCCCTTTGCAATCCAAGGCCAGATATGAACTCCGTGCTTGACTTAAACTGGCTGTTATTCTTTCATTAAGTAGGTACCCAGGTTTGGAGGCATCCAGCACTATGTCACAGCAAAGAAGCCATAACATCACCTCTCACTACATTACCATCAGAAGCACTGCAGACAGAGGCTATCAAATTATTTAAGGTGAAACCTGGACAATATATGTGTTTATGTTTGTGTTTTTGTGTTACAGTAAATAATAAGATGAACTTTATGATGAAGTTACCATCAGAAATGTGTGTTTCAGGGTCATCTTAGTATAGTCGCAATTAAGCTATTCCCCGTATATATGCCTCAAAGCCAGGCAAAACTTCCAAAAGCACCTTTGTCACTGCCTGTCACCTTGCAATGAGAGAAACATGTAAGCAATTACTGCTGATGTATCCTTCTGAAAATGCTTGTCGCCCACTCGGACACAGCCCTGATGGGTCCATTCATTCTAGGGCTGTGTGAATCAGCCACAATATTATGTAAAGCTGTGCTGAGACAGACTAGATATGCTGGTACAGATGGCCCTTTGTTTCAGTGACTATCTCTGGTAGCATATCCCCTATCATCTGGTGGGTCACAGTTGCAATGACTGCAGGTCTTTGCCTTATATCGACCTTCTGGATGAGCCAAAGGCTGTATGCAAATTTACAGATGAAATCCAGGCAGATAAAAACTCAAGGTAAATCTTAACATCGGGCACCAGACAAAAATACCCTTGCAATGGGAGCCCCCTGAACATCAAGGGTTCGATACTTGTTCAGTCTATGGGGCACAAGAAGAGGAGATTTGACTTACCTTGCCCCGGCTCTGGGAGACTCCGGTGCTCTCCTCTTTTCCATGATGCTCCAGGTTGTGGGCTGTCCTGCATTGCCCTTCTATTAACCCTGCATTGTATGTGGAGGAGGCATGTGTGCGACTGCTGTCTGGAGCACCGTAGAGAGGATGCTATGCGGGACTGTTCGCATTGGTTGAAGTGAGCCTGCTGGATTGAGGAATAAGGTAAGTATCACTCCTTATCCCTGGACTCCTAGACTTAATGAGCAGGTTTCTTTGTCTTGTGCCCAGAGTTGGGCTTCAATGCAGATTTTTATTCATGAATACATTATTAAATGTGTAAGTACTTGAATACGACCTGGTATCAGCCTCTTGCAAATCTCTGTACAGCAGAACTAGGACTGGGAGAGGGAGAAGCAGTACTGTCAATTGTACAGTAGTGCTCATGTACTATCAAGGAGCATGCTTATAGGAGGAAAGAGCAGAGTCTCACAGAGATTAAATATGTTTGCTGCTTCTTCTTTCACTGTCCAGTCATAGACTGAAAGAATTAATTAGACCTAGTTGTATACCTTAATTGCAGTAAATGAAATTGAGGTCTTCTGCTCTGACAAACAGAGCTGTGCGGCATAGTTGTTTAAATCTCAGAACTGGATGGACCGAAATAGAAATCCATTGGTGGGTAAAACGGCTTGCAAAGTAATATTTTATCCTCATTCACACAGGGTAGAGTGGGACCGTACATATCCATCCTGTCTGTGTCTGGGTACGGGTGTCGGGTGAGCGTACGACAGCAAACAGCTGCATCCTCCAATAGGGAAGAACAGGCTGCTGCGTACAATCACAAGCAGCACCTGTCCTTCCCGAGAACGGCCCGATACAGTTGTGCACGCCGCAGGGATGTGTACGGGCCAACTCTAAGCTGTGTGAATGAGGCTTAACTCGAACCAAAACTTTTGTATTAGTTTGGAACATATAGGAACCCTGTCTCCATTTTAGCTGATTTCTCTGAATATCTGTCACATACACCAACTTCCTTACCCCTGAGACACAAAAAACGGTTTGCATATAACACAGTGGGGAAACATTAGAACCTATGTCTGTTTTTTTTCCTGAATGTCAGTGTCCCCTTTGGGGAAATTTCTCCTTATTTCCTTTCTCAGTGATTTCACCATGTGTCAAGATGTATCATCAGGACAGGAATTTGAGTTCTCTCTGGTGGGAGCGCACACACTAATAAACCCAAGTAAACCTTAACTCGTCTCCAATCTCTCCAGTGCTTTAATTTCTCAATTAAAGCTTAACTCCATCCCGACATAAATACTGGAACAGGCAGAATTTGGAGCAGTTGCAATGCCCATGGCAACCAATCAGCTTCTCTCTTTCATTTTCAAAGCTTAGCTGATTGACTTGAAGAGAGAAGCTGATTGGTTACTATGGACAACTACTCTAGATTCTGTCTGCTCCAGTTTTTATGGATCGCCCCCCCCAGTACTGGACTGGAGTTGAGCTTTAATTGAGAACAGCTTGTTTTCATATTATGTAAGATGTTTATACTTTTACAGGATATTGCTACTTTCTAGTGACTTTCCAGTTCTCATGCGCTTCAGTCAGGTTATGTCAGGGTTGCAGCCTGGTTTAAATTTCCCCTTTTTACAGCAGCGTTCATAACCCGAAACGTGAAACCCAGAAACACTTATGTCATCGGTGCAGCACACCTACCATGGAAGTCAGTGGGAAGCAAACACCAGAGGAGCACAGCTGCTGCAAATCAATGACATATGTGTTAGAATAATTCTGACAAGGGTCTAACAGTGGAGCATGCTGGGAGGTCAGGGCTGCCTGCGGGATAAGATATCCTGCACCTCATTCTAAAATAAATTCAGTGCCTGGTAAAGCCTGACACAGGCAGACCATGATAAGTGGATTCTTCTTCCTATTGACCCTCAAGTGGTCTGGAATCCAGATAATGAGCAGTACTTATTTCTACAAGCTCTCCTGTCTGCCAATTACTGGAAAACACTGTTTTCACTCGCTAAGATATTAATGGGAAGGATAGAGAAAGTGAACATGCAGCTTTGACATCCATGTGCTGTGTATACACAGCTGTATTTAGAGATAATGGTGCTGTAGAAGTTTGTGAGTGATGATGACACCCTTTTGGATACATCTCTTCCCCTTTGCCATCACCCAGATTTATTATTTATTACCATGAAGAGGATAGATAGATAGATAGATAGATAGATAGATAGATAGATAGATAGATAGATAGATAATCAATAGGTCTTGGGCTTCCTGATAGACCTAGCTTAAGACAGAGATAGATAGGTAGATAGACAGATAACCAGCTTACCAATCTATAGATTTGTTTTAATTTTAATTTTTTTTTAACCTTTCTTTTCACCTGGTGGTCCTGTCAGTAACATGCTTCCTGTCCTGGGGTGTCAACACTCACTCACTGCACTCTATCTATGGAGGAACAGCTTTGAAAGCCTAGAATGGGTTCTGTAGTCCACAGAGAGAACTGGGAACAACAATATCACAGTTCAGCAGAGAGCACAGGAACTTATTAACTTATTAGATTTATGTCAGGAGCTATAGTAATAGTTTTGCACTTATTGGAAAGATATAACAATACACGTTCAATGGTAATTTTAACAGGCCATAGATAGATAGATAGATAGATAGATAGATAGATAGATAGATAGATAGATAGATAGATAGACATGTAGATATATAGGTAGATAGATAGATAGATAGATAGATAGATAGATAGATAGATAGATAGATACCGTAGATAGATAGATAGAAAGATAGGCATCTTAATTTGTGGTGGAATTGGGGAATTCAACCCCTTTTTATTTTCCATTATAAATAAAACGTTCGTTCATATATGTAGCAGTTATCAATTTACTCTCTATTACTGTAAAAATGATGGACTCTTTGTGTGTCTTCCCTATTCTATGGCCTATACGGCAGAGAATGTGTTCTAATTTAAATATATCAGCAGATCACAACATCAATGTAACAAAGCAGCAAATTAAAACTTCTTCAATACTGGCAGCTGTAATAAAAACACCCCGCCGTTCCTGGGATTAAAATGGAAAGTGAAATGTGTGCATCACATAGAACCTATTGGAGGATAGGCAGAGATAAAATGTAGTGTGTGAGTGTGAGAGAGAAAAACATTTGTAAAGGTCAAGCACCTGCTTGATAGTAACCAGATGGCTGCATTGTACAGTATCATTTAGAATATGAGGGCAGGAACCATTGATTACCACAAGAGGGCGCTGGAGACTTTAGAATAAAGTATAAGATAAGGGTGCAGCAGAAACTGTATAAAATGTTTTTACAAAATACGGCGACATTTGCTTGTATATTTGTAAGTAGCGGTTATATCACTTTATCTAATGTGTATCTAACATTATTTTTATACTAATGCATTCAATTGTTGGAGAATGAGCCTAATATAACTGAAAAAGTTATTGCTTAAAAGAAAACTATGAGGTAAGTGTTTTTCCCCATAGTTCTCCTCAGGGTCACGGGAGGACATATACTAACCTCCCGTGCCCCCAAAGCTTAGTATATAGCAGGCTAGTGCCCGCAATATACCGAGAGTGCCTCATCCGGGACGGATCCCAACAATACTGTCGAGATCCACCCAGCTGCGTGAGTGGCAGCTGACTCTGCCTATCTAGAGGCAGAGCCAGCTGTGCCCGCCCCCTCCCCCGTTAGTTACTCCACTCAGCGCTGGAGGATCGTGCTGGGGGGGTAATCCCTGCAGGGAGACAATCGGGAAGTGAGCGGATTGGCTGCATGTTCCTGCTCACTTCCCGATCAACAGAGCCGTCCTATGACAGCGTCTTTGTCACAGGTCGGCTCTAACTATTAGGATGAGTGGAAATCATTCACCTCATAGTTCTCCTTAAGGCCCCGTTCCCACTGCGCGATATGCAAATCGCGCGTTTGTCGCGCGATCTGCATATTGCGCGATATCGCGAGATTTGCATATTGCGTGATATCGCGAGATTTGCCGCGCGATATCGCGTTCAAGCTTGCATTGAGCAAGCTTGAATCGCGGCTAAATCCGCTCCAAAAAGGGTCCTGCTGTAGCGACACACGACCCGCGACAGCAGGAGCCTTTGCCCCATTGAAATGCATTGGAGCGCGATATCGCGCGGTAATTTGCCGCGATATCGCGGGAATTACCGCGCGATAAATCGCTCAATGTGAACGGGGCTTTATGCTTATTTTACTTTTTGTGGAAATTATATCTGGGGCACAAAATTTCACTGGCAGCCTTTTGGCCACCTATTGGACCGCAGGCTGTTGCCCATATTGCTTCTATTGTATAACCCACAACTGGCAGCATGTTGGCTTAGGCCACCATGAGCCCTTCCAGATGTTGAGACACTAACAGAGTTCTTCACAAAAGGGTGAAGTGTTTGGAGAAGGCAGGAGAAGTGTGTGACGGACCGCCTGGTACCCCGACTGGGTACCTCCGTCAGAAATCAGCTTCCTCTCCGCTGGAACCCGAATTCCAGTGTCATCAGCCCAAACCTCCCTAATTATTGGACGAAACCAATATATTAGGACAGAAAGCTAAACCCCTCAAACATCAGACAACACCAACGTTGATGTATAAACCAAGAACTGCTTTATTGAAGAAAGCACACAGAGTTTATACCTCACGGAATCAGATTAGAGTTCAGTGTGTTGAACAATCCCCTCCCCCTGACAGCCAGGTGCCGCATTGGAATTCCTGAAGCACAGACACTCTTTGAACCTAATGAATGTCCTTAATCAGATCATCCCAAACAATGGCCCCTCCAGGCAGCCTGCTGCCTATACTGAACACAGGGTCACTTACATGTAATGTCAGGGAAAACATGCAGTATTTTCACTCCACACATAAACCTAGGAGAATGGTTCCATGTAACCCCAAGAGGTCTGAGGGGGGTCTCCATAGTTCTAGGTCCATAGTCAGTAGGAAGGAGGCTAGCCCTCAGGCTCCTCCAGCAGCCCCAGTGATGGTACAGTCCGTCACAAAGTGAACAATTTAGGACCACATAGCTGAACTGGAAAGTGAGCTGAATTAAAGAATTTCTCCAAATCAGCTATTTTGGCCTAGATTGTTCACTTCTCCTGCCTTCTTCAAACTCTTCACTCTTTTGTGAAGAACCCTGTAAATGTCCCAGCATGATGGACTACAATCTCAATGCAAATTAGTAAACTAAATTTGAGATTGTAGCCCATCACGGGAGTGAGCTTGGAGTGGTGACTACTTTACAACACACAGGGACCATAGGGAACAAAAGTAGCCCCCCCTCCATAAAGAAGGACAGTGTCAGCACCAATTCAGAGATGATTTGAGGATCTACAGCCGAGTGATACACAAATAAAATACATTTATTTTAATAGTTAAGGTACTTGAATGCATTTTTAAAATGTAGTGTCACTTTACCTATACAATTAATTCTTAAGTGGTGAAATTAATTTCCCATATATGACAACAATATATGGACAACCTTTCTCATATTGATTACTGATTTTACTTTATTATACATTTTTATGTGTATTAAGTATTTTCATTTATTCTGGGTTAAAAATAACTGACTACAGTGATGTATTTTCCCATTGTTATATCTGCTTTAGTTGGACTTATATCATGAACTGTCACCTCTTTGTTACAGACTTGCCAGTTGTTTCTGAATGCAGCGATTGACTCTCCTGCTATAGACTATCATGTGTCCCTGGCTCAGAGCGCGCTACAAGTGTGCCTCACCCACCCTGAGCTACAGAACGAGATCTACTGCCAGCTCATTAAACAGACCCGACACAGATCGCCACAGAACCAACCAAGTCCCATCCAGGTACACCATCCACCAGGATCCTGGATCTAGGGCTGAGTCATAATTATGCTTTATGGGCCTAAGCCTATCGCCTGCAGATGACAAGCGGTATTATTGTGGCCCTGCGATATTATGTGTGGTGAGCTAAGAGAGAAAACAAAACTTCTCTCACACACCACTAGCTTATCTATTTGCATTAGTTCTATTTGGCTACACAATGCATCTTTTCAAGGTTTTGCATTACTTTTATCTCAAACTTAAAAACCATCTTATTCCAACTGATAAATATGTTTACGTCTTCTGTCTTACACTGGAATCTTATGTAAAATGGTACGTCAATTATTCCAATAGATAAATATGTTTGTGTCTTCTGTCTTACTGGAATCTTATGTGCAATGGCAGCTCAAAAAAAGAAAGCCTACCAGGAGGTTAACCTCTTCCACCGTCCTTTTTGGTTTATTGTATTAGCTTCATACTTATGTTAGGTCTCAAAGTCAACTATGCCTATGCAGAACAAAGAAACAGATTGACTTTACTTCCCTCCTCGCAGCTGCATGTACATTGATTTTCTTTCCCCCCGCTCCATTCAGCCAATTTAAGCCATCCCTCTATAAGCTCCAGCCACTCCAGTTGGAGCTGAGACAGGGCTGAGGACTACCCCGTCCTCAAATGATAGCTCTGGGCTACTAAGTAAGTATGTCTACTGTCCCACAAGGCACTGAAATCCTGACCACTACATTGTCACCACCTATGGCCAATTACCAGCACTGTTACATAGTCACCTGCTCCTATATATGCAAAAGCTGTGGACATTTTCATTCCTGGTGGCCCTGCCGCGGATCAAAGGCATGGTGATTGGGTATAAATGCTAACCTGTTTCTTTGGTCTGCATGAATAAAATACCAAATTGCTTCAAGATAATTATTATTGGCACAGTGTAAAAAAAAAGAGTTAAATATCACGTATTGTTTATTCCACTGCACCTAGTTGGACATTTGAAAAGTGAACATGATGTTTACCGATATTAGTCACAAGTTTACTTTAAAATTGTGCGGAGTGCAGACACATTAGACAACCGCTAAACTGACCAGCAAGTCATATGCTTCTGCCCCTACAGTGTAATGCTTAGACAATTTGTTTAGCACAACCCTAGTACGATGGCACTATTAACAGTTGTTTGTGTTATTTAGGGTTGGCAGCTGCTGGCACTGTGTGTTGGGCTCTTCCTTCCGCAGCATCCATACATCTGGCTCCTAAAACTTTTTCTGAAGAAGAATGCTGATATCAGGTAGTGTATATACATGACAAGTCTCACCGACTCAAGGTTGTCACACATACTTCACTTGTAAACGGCTCTCTCAGCCTCCTCCGCTGTCTTCCCGTGCCTCTACCACACACAGCCAACTGGCTCCCCTCTGCCTTCTGGGTGGAGTCCTCCTGACTCCCGAACATCCCTGTTCCTCTTCCCAACTGGAGCCCAGAATTCCAATAGAGACAAATGTTCTGATGCCAACCATTCACACCAGGGCGATAGCGTTTCAGCACGCTTTACCCAAGTTTTTGCGCGTTTATTTATGCGCGCTTCTGCATGTTTTAAGACGCTTTCTGTTCATAAGCAATAGCGTTTCATGGTGCGTTTTTAGCTCGTTTTACAGTTGTCCAATTAAAAGCAGTCTCAGCTGCAAAAACTCGCTAAAAAGGCACACAAATGCACAAAAACGATCTGATCGGCGTGTTTACATTGACGTCTATGGAGCAAAACGGGATGATAAGTGCCACAAAAGAAGCTCAGGGACTATTTCAAACAGCAGGCATTTCTATGAATGGCCCCCATAGGAATACATGGGATTTTATGTTGCATGCGTTTCAGCGTGGAAAAAAACATGCGACTAAACGCCCTGGTGTAAACACCCTGAGATGGGAATTACCCTCACTTTGGGGAGATTTCTTCCCGCTTCCTGTTGCAGCTTCAGGACAGAAATGATGGGAAATCTCTCTAGCAGGACACAGACAGCAAAAATAATCGAACAGGGGTTTAAACCCCTCCCTACCCGTCATAAAAAAGAAAGCAAAAAGTCTTGGCTGTTCGGTCACTTTAACACCATTCGGTAATTGTTTATTTATTTGTGTACTAGATTTTATTTTTTATTATTATTACATAGTATTTATATAGCGCCAACAGTTTGTGCAGCGCTTTACAATGTAAGGAAGACATTACAATTACAATACAATTCAAGACAGGATGGTAAGGAGGGCCCTGCCCCTGAGGCCTTACAATCTGAAAGAGGAGGGAGAAATGATAAATGAGGAGGTAGCTGTGTGGGAATGAATTGTTTGAGAATGTGATGGTTCAGTGGTTAGGTTGAGGTGGGATAGGCTTCCCTGAAGAGAAGAGTCTTCAGGGAACGCCTAAAGACAGTCAGGGTAATTTAGCTGTGTGTGTCTGTGCATATTAAGTTTGTTAATGTAACGGTATTCTCTTTTTTACTCAGGACTGAGGCTGGAAAATATGCTATTTACTGCCAGCGTTGTGTAGAAAGAACACAACAAAATGGAGATCGTGAAGCCAAACCTTCTAGGATGGAGATTCTGTCCATTCTGCTACGAAACCCATATCACCACTCTTTACCCTTCAGTATCCCTGTGCACTTCATGAATGCCACTTACCAGGTAAAATCAGGCACTTCTCCCATATTACAACTCTGTATCCTGCCCTCTACTTCTAAATAGATATAATGTAAGAAAAGGAACATATTCTGAGAGAAATATCCAAGCTACCACTGCTGATCTCTACCTCTAAAAAAGACAGTTTCCTGGCTGTCATTCTGGTGTCATGGCTTCAATACTTTCAGTCACTAACCTGGAGCAAGTATGCAACTATAGAGGTGGAGGGTGGGTTAGGTTGGGTCAGGGGGATAAAAAAAGGTAAATGCACATTATTTTAAAGTACATTTATCTTTTAGAGGAGAACTATGGAGTCAGTGTTTTTCCCCATAGTTCTCCTAAGGGTCAAGGAGAGGACATACACTAGAGTCCTCCCGGTACCCAAAGCTCAGTATATCGCGAGCTACAGCTCACGATATACTGAGACCGCTGCAGCCGGGACGGATCCCTACATTACTGTCGAGATCCACCCAGCTGCGTGATTGACAGCTGGCTCTGCCTATCTAGAGGCAGAGCCAGCTGTACCCTCCCCCGTTTGTTCCTCCACTCAGCGCTGGAGGATCGGAGCGGGGAGGGGGGGAATCCCTGCAGGGAGCCGTGATTGGCAGTCACGGCTCTCTGCAGGGACATGATCGAGAAGTGAGCGAGCGACGGTATGTGTTCGCTCACTTGCCGATCTATTGAGCCGACGTGTGACAGTTTCATGGTCACACGTCGGCTTGATCTATGAGGTTGACTGAAAATCACTCACCTCATAGTCCTCCTTTAACTAAGTGTGACTAGGCCCTTAGTTGATGAAAAACGTTTGATGACGGTAATATTGTAGTAGGTCATCTGCCATTTTGGTTCAGGAGGACTACAATGTCAAAAGTTCCTCTTTGAGACCAGGGGGGTCTTCAAACTTCGTGGTGCACTGCATTGTAATAAATGGTGCATGTTAGTTTTTTTGGATGTTTTGGTGTATTGCCAGCTTATTCATTTCAGTGGGCTGCCTTAATTCTTTCCCCTTTATTGCTTGTTTCCTTTGTGTAAAAGAGAACCTGTCACAGCAAACTAACTTTCCAAGCACATATACTGCAGGTCGTGGGATTTGACGCATCAACAACAGTTGAAGAGTTTCTTTGCACGCTTAACCAAGACCTGGGAATGCGGAAGCCATCTCAATCCGGATTTACCTTGTTTTCAGGTGATCCCTCTGGAAAGGATTTTGAATATTGCTTACAAGGAAATATTAAGGTAAAAATAAATTTTTGCTTACAGTTGAATGACTTTCCCTAATCTCCAAGTAAGTGGAACCAATTTTCAACCATGCATCTCTAGCTGCTTTTACCTGTGTTCCTCATTTTACACAGAACTGAGGGGTGGTAAAGGGAATTTAATGGTATTTTTGTTTCATTGTATTTTTTATGCTCCGGACCAAATGATGGGCATTTACTAAGACCAGAGCGGACAGCATCTTGACAGTGCATGTCAACCAATAAGCTTCTAGCTTTCATTTTCAAAGCCTAACCAAACAAGCTGAAGTGAGAAGCTGATTGGTTACTATGCACAGCTGCTCCTGTCTACTATAGTTTTTGTAAATCCCTCTCAATGTTTTTATTTTTATATCGGGAAAATGTAAAACATTACAGTGCAGCCCTTGACAATGCCTTCATCTGTTTTTCTCTCCAGAAGGATGGTGCTATCTTTCCCCAGGCATCATCCAGGGCCAATATCTACCTCCTGGACTTAGATTGTGACTCATGAATGATGCGGTTATGTACCTTTTGTTCACAAATGTCAGATCAGCTCCTGCTAGAGCCTCTCACCGTGTGACTTGCTACAAGGTTACAATATACAGTCCGATCACTGGATGGGGTGGGTGTGACTGAGGAAATGCTTTTTAAAGGAGAACTATGAGATGAGTGATTTCCACTCACCTCATAGTTCTAGCCGACCTATGACAATGAGACTGTCACAGGTCGGCTCAGTAGATCGGGAGGTGAGCTAACACATACCAGGTTCGCTCACCTCTTGATCCTCTCACGGCTCTCTGCCGCGACAGGGGGAGGGCTGGATTCCCCTCTCCCCGCTCCGATCTGCCAGCACTGACGGACGGGGGAGGGGGCGGCTACAGCTGGCTCTGCCTCTAGATAGGCAGAGCCAGCTGTCACTCACGCAGCTGGGCGGATCCCGTCATCTACGTCGAGATCCGCTCCGGCTGTGGTGCTTCAGTATACCGCGAGCTGTAGCTCGCGGTATACTGAGCTTAGGGTAACGGGAGGACGCTAGTTTGTGTCCTCCCGTTAACCTAAGGAGAACTATGGGGAAAAACACTGACCCCATAGTTCTCCTTTAATGCCTGCAGTAGACTGATGATATCATCTGATCCTACGCACAGATGTATTTACTTTTCCCCAGTCTATGTAAAAAAGTTTTGTCTGGAGCTGGGCTTTAACAGTGGGAAGCTTTTGACATAAACTCTCAGACATGAATGTAAAGATGGTACAGCACATACAATGTTTTCCCTTCTCCTCATTGCCAGATATGTGACATAATTTCAAAGTGGGAGCAGGCTTCTAAGGAGCAACTTCCTGGGAAATGTGATGGCACCCGGACTGTGAGACTCACCTACAAGAACAGGTGCCTACCCCCTACCACCTTTTCATTGTTACTAAGTGGAATACATTTTAAATATTGTCCCTTCAAATAAGTATTTATACATAAGTCTGTTGGTGCATTATAGTTACAGGTTTAGGTCTTTACTGCAGTTCTAAAAAACACTAGACAATATCCATAGCTCAAACTGTTCACCAATCCAAACTCCAGTCTCTTTGATATGACTTCAGTAAAGTGAAATCTGATTGGTTGCCTGGGGTTACTACACTACTTTATTAGATGTACCACCATATTTTTTGCATAGAATGAGGAAGTTCTAGAACCTTCACCAGTTTTTTTACTCCTGTATGTGGCCCCATTATGGCCATTTTTCCTCACTTGGAGAGTCTTCTTCACGCTTCTCCTGGAATCAACGCTCCTCCCAGAAAAGGAAAGATTAAAGGATTTTTTTCTAAAAGTATGGTGTGTTTTTTTACATTTTACTTTAACCCTTTAGTGAATGAGTAGGGTTACCCCACATTTTTTCCCTGTTTTTTGGGGGCGTGGTTCCCGCTTAAAATTCCTACCAGACCTAAAGGGCCTGGTATGACTTTTGTGGGAAACCCCACGCACTTTTTTTTTTTTACTTGGAGTCCCTCCTAACTTTCCTACCAGACCTAAAGGGTTTGGTATGGATCGGAAAGGGGGACCCCACACGTTTTTTTTTCTGCTTTCTTTTGTTTGAATTTCTTGTATTCTGCTCGCTACCTCCAAGGTAGCAAGCAGAATAACTGAGTTGAATATCGCTTGTCTGCATTCGGCTATTCACTCACTATTGTTCGGCCCTATGAGAATAGGGGTGAACGGCACAGAGTGAACTGCTGGGCGTTTCGGCTCAGCCGATCCAGATGTTGAATCAGCTGAGTCGAACAGATTTTTCACTGAAATCAGCCATACTCAGCTGAAGTGAATAGCTGAACAGGGTTCGGCTCCCTTCACTTTGGCTCAGTTATTCACTCGACTGCCTTCGGCAGCTTAGTGAATGACCTCCTTTGCCACTGTGCCTTAAAGGGGAAAGGTGACAGAGTCTCTTTGAAGATCACTACTCAACCCATTTATGCTCACCTTCACTGCACTACCCCACTGCTCCATTCTTTTTCTGCCCTAGTCCTGTGTAAGCTCTTTGTCAGATTGTGTCAGAGATTATCTAGGGTTGATGATGTCACCTTGTCCCTCACATGGTAGTGTTTGGGCTTGGTGATTAACTGCTCCCGCTTGAGCATTGCATTATGGAAGCACCAGGTATTTTGCTTTGGCACCAATGATAAAGAAGGGGACCACAGGGAAGCTGAGAAGTGGGTTGGCCAGTGGGCAAGCAAGAGCCTTGATCACTTTGCCTTCAGAGGACAAATGACAGGGCCTCATTGTGCATGTATGCTTTCATAAATACAGCAGCAGTATATGGCAGCACTCACTGTATGGCCATGTAATTGACTGGCATTTTTATCTGGGTACCGATGTTTCCTCTTTTGTGTTCCAGGCTGAGCTTCTCGGCACAGGTGCGTGGGGAGACGGACAGAGAAAAGCTGCTGTTAATGTACCAAACGAACGATAAAATCATTAATGGTCTCTTTCCAGTCAACAAGGAGCTGGCCCTGGAACTGGCTGCTCTACTCGCTCAGGTAACCTCTGGGAAATGAACTCCATATACCTTTTAATGCAATTTCAAAAGCAATTACTTATAATGAAACATTGTGCTAATGTGCAGTGCAGTATTAACCTGTAATTATACAATTTGAGGTCCCTATGTAAAGATGGCTTCCTGAGGAGATTTAATCTTCCCCTCCATCTCTTTTGCCTTTCCTGCATATTGCAGATGGATAGCAGATGTGAAGTCAAGGTATTATTAGTGTATTGTTTTAATGTGTTTGTGTGTTCAGTAATGTGCCTAATGTATGGAATAATGGATGCAAAGTGGTTTTAAAAGAAATAAACTCCAGCCAGGGAGAGCTCTTACATAAGTGTCTGCTCCCACAGAATGTCACTAGAATGGTCCATTGAAAAGCAGTAAATATTGTATATTCTGAGTTCTGAAAAGAGACTGATTATTCTACAGCTGGGCAGCGAAGCATTGCTTTTACTGAGCCTAAAAATCACTGCAGATATCTGAATGTTTGACGTAGCACCTAAATTTAATAAGCTTTGTATAGTGAATTTTAAACACTTGGTGGTTCTCAGCTAGGGGTATGTGAATGACTGGAGGTACCTTGAGGACTACATGGGGACTCCTTGCTAAGGGGCTGCATTTGATATGGCTGGTTCTCAGCTAGGGGTATGTGAATGACTGGATGTACCTTGAGGACTACATGGGGACTCCTTGCTAAGGGGCTGCATTTGATATGGCTGGTTCTCAGCTAGGGGTATGTGAATGACTGGATGTACCTTGAGGACTACATGGGGACTCCTTGCTAAGGGGCTGCATTTGATATGGCTGATAATCAGTTTAGTCCCACAGCAGTAAACTGGTAAAGGAGGCTTTTACCAGTTTGCAACAAGTGTGCCACCCCCCAGTGCCTATGTCCATATGTCACTAAGCATAGGCTTTCCATAGGTTTCACTCAGTGGCGGAGCTAAGGAACAAAGGGCCCTGGTGCAAGATTCCCCCCCCCCCACGGCGGTAGTTCCGCCACTGGTTTCACTTTATCCCTCCCTGATTTAAAAACTGCTTTTGCAGCACATGTGCCTTCTCTGACCCCCTGAAATGTGACCTCCAGGGACTGCTTTGATGAACCTGTAAAGGGGTCCAAACTCCACCCATCTGCACACACAGTGATAGTATGCATCTTGAAGTTTATAACTGGCCCAGACTCTTTCTTTAGTTTTGGATAGGGTAGGAGATGGTTAAGACCCCTGCCAGTTTTTGTTTTTTGGGGGGGGTTTTTTGCTGTCTGTGACCCACAGATTTCAGAGAGATTTCTGTTCACGTCCCAGAGACACAACAGGAAGTCAGAAGGGATCTTTTCAAAGTGAGGTGAAATTGCCACTTAGACAGTTGTCTCCAGAACAGGTTTCTCCATTGGAAGATTTCCCCTCACCTCCTGTTTTTGCCCCTGCAACACGCAAACCAATCCCTACCTGAAGATTAAATTAATCCTTTCTTGCAGACCCCACAGTTCAGGCTTCTGTCTCCAAGACCATTGCTGATTTTCTTTCAGATCACCAATCCAATTCTGCCTCCCCTCCCATTCAATAGGAAATGCTTACACATGAGGAGACTTTAATTTCCCACAGCTCCCGCATCAAAATGGAAAGAACATCCAAAATCCTTACCTTCCTTTCTGATATTCACACCCTTGAAACCACACACAATTTGAATCAATACCCTCTTACATATCAATCACTATTTCTTTAACCAACTGTGTTACAAGGTTTAATAGACCAAAATTATGGTTCTCTGTGGCCAATCCCAGAGAGAGATTGTGAGTGATTGGAGCTTCATTGAACCCATGGACATTAAAGGAGAGGTATGGGGAGAGGAAAATTTACTCTTTCCAATACTTAGAGCCAGCATGTAGCACTACAGCTGTCACATTTTGGCTCTATAGATTGAGAGCTGAGCAATCAAGAATCATTTTTTCACTTTTAATTGGTTCCGTTAAGTTACCTCCTCCAGAGTTAATTTCACT